CACATCTATTAACCAGCTGTTCTTACTATTAATCCAGTTCTTTGTGTTTTTTTCTTTACAATACCTTATGTTCCTGCTATTTAGCCCTGCGACATCTGTTGGCAGTACCTGGTGATATCAGATGACACTGACCAGTTGGTGTGTAGCGCCCCATCTGGATATCTGCGGTCCAAAGCACCTGTTATTAAAATAATTGCCGCGAGCATAAGATCTTTGCATGTCAAGTGCAAAATTAAAGCTGAACTCCAGGCAAACAGCTAAAGACACAGTTGAAATACAGACAAGGGGTTTGTATTTCTGTCCAGAGTGCTGAGATTTACACAGCTCTGCCACACAGCACTGTCTGGCAGGGTAGGAGACCCGATTATTATCTGCTGCAGTTAAGTAAGACCCCATTCACACTGAGCTACATCACAAAAAGCTTTTTTCAGTGCGATTTTGAGCTGCAGTGCACATTTTGTCGTGCTACGTAGTGCTACTTTTGGCAGGGACTTTGTAGCTGCTACATTGGGCTGTAACCAATCAAAAGCGGTCTTGATGTGACATAATTCCTCTTCCTGTTTATATTTCTGTGCAAAAGTGACACTTCTGTCGCGCGACATTGAGCTACACCATTGAAGTCTATTGGGCCAAATCGCACGAAATCTACCGAAAAATAGGTCATGCTTGAGCTACAAGCAACATTAAGCTGAGATGTGAACAGCTCCATTGAAATGCATTGGACAAGCTACATTGAGCTGATAGTGGAGCGATTTTTGAGCTGAAATCGCTCAGTGTGAATGGGGTCTAACAGGTCTTTGTGAACGAATAGTAAAAGGAGAAGCAGCAGACTGATGAGCTCATATCTCTGCTCTCGATCAGCATGTTCTTTGTTAGCATAGGACCAGCACAAACCAGCCATGTGTGCTCAGGCTCGGTGGGGATGGTCTCTTCCACTTTCTTATGTGGAAAGTATAGGCCACATCACCAGTTCACTTTTCAATAATGCAATGTAATACTGGCGTCTTCAGAAGAGGATTGCAATGGCAGCCCCAATGTGTGTTTGGCTTCTTTGCCTGCATTTTTCCATTTACGTCACCTGCATGGATGCTTGTTACTGCATGCTGTTTTCAAATCAATATTTGTTCGGGATTACTGACAACGGTTACTGTATTGTCAGCTTCCTTACATCATGTTAAGTTTCTATAATAGTATCAAATCACTAAGCCACTAAAGTTAGTGTGATGTAAACAAATACAGAATAATATTTGTTTGTATGCGCACTCAGAAGTTGGGAGATAGCATGTATCTAACAGTCTCTAAAGCATACACTCACCCAGCAGTTACAACAAAGTATTCTGAGACTAAAGCTGGGTTCACACGGAGCAAATTTTGGCCGATTGAATCTCATCTAATTCTTGCTCAAACTGCTTGTGACCCTATTCCCTTAAAATAAGTGGCTCATTAGATCGACTTTTGCTGAAGGAACACGTTGGAAGATCTTAGGCTGAATGGTGCTTTTATTCAATCAGCTGCAAGCACTGTTTGGGAATTCTGACAGGTGCCAGTGTCAGAATGGAATGTACAAAGTAGGAGATTCTTTAATTCACACTGCTTAGTGTGGATGAAGGAATGTCATTTTCTTTTTTTTTCATGCAGCTTGCAGGCTGAGCAAAAACAATATAACCATGTGTACCCAGCTTTAAAGAGAACCTGTCAGCTTGGCTGTTATGTCACACCTCAGACTCTCATCCAACTACCAATGCATGGCCATGAGAAGCGGCATTGGTTTTGGGGCAGAATGCACCTAGGGAACATCAATCACACCCTAAATCTTGAGCAATTGCGCACAGCTGCATCCACTGATACATAGATACCATCTGTCATGACAGGTTTCCTTTATTGTTACATATGAAAATTTCTAGAAATGCAGAGACTGTAAGGGGCTGAGGCACAGAAGGTGGAAGGATGTTTCCCAATGAGTTCTTACTGTAAAGCTATTCTGGCATTCATAAGTAGGTTTTAGAAACAGAAAATTAAAGGACAAGCGTGCCTTTAGCTTAGTACATTTGTCCTTTAAATTACACTATATTGCCAAAAGTATTGGGACGCGGCCTTTACACGCACAAACTTTAATGGCATCCCAGTCTTAGTCTGTAGGGTTCAATATTGAGTTGGCCCGCCCTTTGCCACTATAACAGCATCAACTCTCCTGGGAAGGCGTCCACAAGGTTTAGGAGTGTGTCTATGGGAATGTTGGAACATTTGTGAGGTCAGGTACCGATGTTGGACGAGAAGGCCGGGCTCACAGTCTCCGCTCTAATTTATCCCAAAGGTGTTCTATCCGGTTGAGGTCAGGACTCTGTGCAGGCCAGTCAAGTTCCTCCACCCCAAACTCCCCCATCCATGTCTTTATGGACCTTGCTTTGTGCACAGTCATGTTGGAACAGGAAGGGGCCATCCCCAAACTATTCCCACAAAGTTGGGAGCATGAAATTGTCCAAAATGTCTTGGTATGCTGATGTCTTAAGACAGGCCTCAAAATTTCCACTCACCCCCTCGCAATTGGCGAGTGAAAATTGCATGGGGGCGAGTGGAATGTCGAGGTGTGCCGCCGGCGGGACCAGGGATGGGACACTGCCGCCGCGGTGATCGTTAGCTTCTATTCTCTCTTCTCCTCTATAGCTACAAAGCGGCCGAGAAGAGAGAAGCGAACGATCGCCGCGGCGGCAGTGCCCCACACCACAATCCCCCCTCCACCAAACTTTACACTTGGCACAATGCAGTCAGGCAAGTACCGTTCTCCTGGCAACCGCCAAACACGTCCATCGGATTGCCAGAGAAGCGTGATTTGTCAACTCCAAAGAACACGTCTTTGCATTGCACTTGGTGATGTAAGGCTTGGTTGCAGCTGCTCGGCCATGGAAACCCATTCCATGAAGCTCTCTACGCACTGTTGTTGTGCCAATCTGAAGGCCACTCGAAGTTTGTAGGTCTGTAGCTATTGACTCTGCAGACAGTTGGCGACTTCTGCGCACTGTGCGCTTCAGCATGCGCTGACCCCGCTCTGTCATTTTACGTGGCCTACCACTTCATGGCTGAGTTGCTGCTGTTCCCAGTTGCTTCCACTTTGTTATAATACCACTAACAGGTGACCGTGGAATATTTTGTAGCAAGGAAATTTCAGGGATGGACTTATTGTACAGGTGGCAACCAATCACGGTACCACGCTTGTAGTCACTGAGCTCCTGAGACGACCCATTCTTTCACAAATGTTTGTAGAAGCGTCTGCATGCCGAGGTGCTTGATTTTATACACCTGTGGCCATGGAGGTGATTGGAACACCTGAATCCAATGATTTGGAGGGGTGTCCCAATACTTTTGACAATATAGTGTATCTCCACCCCCCACTCTGAGTGCAGCCTGCCTGGTAATATACTTGCCTTCTTCCCCATTCCAGTAAAGTCCTGTGCCGAGGACCCCCATACCATTTTTTTCCTCTCAAAGAACTTCTGGCCAGTCCAGTGACACAATGGGCCATTCCTCTTCTCCTCCAGTGGCAATGAGCTGCCCTTGCTCCTCCACTCAACAGTACAAGTTGGCTGAGAGAAAGCAAAGTGGAATGATACTGGCTGTTATTTAACCTGGAAGACTGGCAACATCTAGTGGTGGAAATCAATGATTGCAGAGGTCAGCACATGCTCAGCATTAAAGGAGAGTAATGCAACAAAAGCAAACTTTTTTTTATTTCCATTCTAACCAATATTGGGAGAGCCACCATTTTATTATGGCTCAAGCTAAAAATGGGCTTTAAGCAACGTGTGCTGTGTAAGTCAATATGGAACTATGAATCCCACGAAAGTAAAACCACAAAGAAAAACACAACTCTCGATACACAACTGACTCACTTTTTTTGTTTTTAATAACTTATATTTGAGATTTTTTTAAAAACCTTAATAAATATGCTAAGAGAAGCAGCATTTAATACAATAAAAAAAACAAAACATAAAAAGTTGTGAAAAAAAAGATTTGTCCATAGATAAGAAACAATTAAAACATAAAAGGGGATCTAAACTCTCATTAGAATTTATAGTCTGTATTAAAAAAGGGACAGCGAACATGAAAAGGAGAGCTGCAGGTGTTTTAAAAAAAATAATAGCTATAGAATTTCTCCCTATTGTATTGTGTGGAGCTGGTGATATCTTGTAGAACTACGGCTCTGGTCCAGATGCGCAAACTGAAGTGAAGGGTGCTGGGAGTCTCATATGGCCTTGTAGAGCCGACGTGACACCAGGAGATACTCTTCAGCCAGTGCAGAAGCTATCTTTTGAAATCTGCAGCTTTCATTAAAATACTACCTGGTGATCCTGCCATGTTCAGACATTTCCTCTTATTGAGTGAAACTCCCAATTGTGCTCCTACGTTGTCACCCTATCACACTCCTCTCTGGTAGAGACTAACGGCCCATGCACACACAAATTGCAAAGACATGATCCACTGTTGTCACTTCTAGGAAACCGGCCCAGAGCAATGTTGTGCAGCTGAAGCTAGTGCAGGGAAGGGAGTCTACACAAAAGAGAGATGGAAAAGGCATGGCAATTGTTGCACAGCGATACACAGCGCTTTAGCAAACTAAACATCCATATAGGGTTCAGATTTATTTGAAGGACTGCACATCTATGCTACTTCATCCTTTTCTAGTGCTGGAGGCTCTGGATTACAGAATTACAGAATGTTAGCAATCCATCCACAGTGCAATACAGAGAATTTCATGTTAATCAACGTTTGCTCTTCCATTTAAAAACAGACCAGTTATATGGACGGTTTAGATCTAATTAAAAATCTATTCAGTGGGCCAGCCAGCTTGAAACCTATAGACACTTTGCATCTCAGTAAAAATTATAGGTTAAAAGGATATCTTGCCCATAACATGGCCCGCTGCATTTTGAGTGTGTCAGGTACAAAAACAACTCATAACTTTGTCAAATAAGTCCCATCAGAACAAACCACAGTCGCCACTGTAACAGAGTGGCTTATCTGAACAGTCTTGGGGAAATCCTTGTTAACCCTTGTCTTGCCAGACCACACTCTTTAGCCAATTCGAAGCTCGTTCTCCAGGCCGTAGATTTTTGCCTTCAAGTTGCGCAGTTCTCCCTGGATCTTGTGCGTTCGCTTGTTACCCTGGCGTACAGCGCCAAGGATAGCCAGATCCTGATCGGGGCCAATGTTCAGTGTGACCTGTAGATATTCATAAATTGCAGGATGAAGGAGCAAAAATTAAACTTCTACAACCCCAATATAGTTCACAATTCCCAAAAGACATTTATCTAAATCACAAACTGACTCAAATTAAACAAAAGAAATAGAAAAGGCTTCCATTGCCAAACTCTCTGAAAATACTAGCTGCCTGGGTGACATTCTGTTTCTCTGTCTTCAGCAAACAACTATGAATTGTATTAGCCTATTTTAGCCCAACATCGCTGTTAACAGAGGAATAGGCTCCAAAGGAAAATAATACAATGTGATGTATATAAAATTTAGCACAGTTGTATATGCAGTGTAAATATTAGGAGCAGTTTTGTAAGGCTTTTATTTTGCATACAGTGTATTTCTGATGAACATGTAATTCTAGTGATATTGGAGCTACAATTGGTGACTTGTTTTTAAAAAAAGATCCTTTTATATAAACATTTTTAAACTAATACTTGTACATACTGATCTTTCCTGCTGCCCATGTAGCCAAAAACTGCTCCGATCCTGAGAAATCTTCATGTGACCTCTGCAATGAAACTGACACTTTCGGAACTGGATTTCTCACAGCTCTATACTGTTCCTCCTGCTGACCTCTACATCACTACTATACTCTGGCTCCTCCCTCTGATCTGCACTCTTGACAGTAAGAGCTGCAGGGGATGCAGAAGATTGACACTTCTGAAGAGTCCGTTTCAGTAAAGACTTCACAAGAAGATTTCTCAGAATTAGAAAAGTGTTTGGCAGCATGGGCACAAGGAAAGTAAATCACATTTTTCTTTCACAGGTAATGCTGGGTTTAAACATTTTTATATAGCACAAGGGACACTTTAAAAGGTGCAGGTTCCCACCCTTTGCTTCACTACCTAGTGAGCCACCAGAAGCATGCCCTTTAAGAGTTCACAGGCACCATGCTTGTTTCAGGCTACTGACTCGCATGGTAAAGCATCCAGGATGACAGCTTGTACCTATAACAGACCACAATGGCAGCCATCATAAATCCCATTAAAGATAAGGGAATCAACTAATGTGTCTATCCATGCTACATCATGCTAAATGATAGCACGGCTCAAACAGGAGCAGAGCAGATAATGTATCCGCTCACATTTCTTCTTGCCGACCATCCACCCATAAAGCAAAGCCTAACTTGTGGGAAAAGCAGGCCTTTAATTTATCCTCACACTCACCTTAAAAAGTTGCTTTTCCACGTCCCGCAGCCGCTGGCGCAGAAGCTTGATGTCTGTCTTGAAGCCCTCCACCTCCATGTTACGGCGTTTCTCCAGAGCTTCATAACGCTGGGTCATAAGCTGAAGACGTTTGGCGACCTTGTCAGATCGTTCCTGAAATACGGAAGGTGGTGAGCAATGGGGGGGAAGAAACTGACAGGCTTATGTGCAGTGTGAAGACTGCAGTCAGTGCCCCGTGGAGACAGAAGTATTCCTCTTCTATTTTTATAGACGTATATACTGCCGCTTTTTTTCTTACTGTGATGGGATTGCTTAAATTTAACAAAGTCTGCAACATAATGCTGCCATTTTACAGCAGAGCTGGAGGGAGCTGCGATGGGGACAACAACTGGAATGGGAGGTATGAAAGTTATGCTTATGCTTTTTAATTTTATGTACAAAAGTCTCTTATACGAGTTCTGTTGTAAGCTGGACCAATCACTTCAATGGCTTTCACTGATTACCGTATATACTCGAGTATAAGCCGAGATTTTCAGCCCATTTTTTTTGCGGAAAAGTGACATGTTTATGAAGTGTCAGCTGGCAAATGTAATGCAATGTTTATCAGTTCAGAGCTTTATATACGGATCATGTCATCCAGGGATAAGCGATAATTATCATCTATGGAACAATTTGTTAGAAGGTTATCAGAACTTGATTTGGCGAGTGGAAAAAAACAATTATCCTTTGTCTACTGTACAGCTTACTTTGTTCACAATTCTATTTTAATTTGCAGACTTATCACAATCTAACAATGTAGGTGGTCTTTTATCGCCGGTGTTTAAACTAATCCCTACTAGAGGTGCACCGAAATGGAATTTTTAAAACCGAAACAAAACCGAAATAAAAAAAAAAAATTGTCAGGCCGAAACCGAAAATGTTTTATTTTAAATATTTTTAAATCTTATTTTATTTATTTTTTAGAAACTTTTTAATTTTTTTATATTTATTAATTCATCTTTTATTAAATATTTTTTACATTGCTTTTAGGGGCTTTGGGGAAATATTGGGGGTCTAAACAGACCCCTGATGTCCTTTTAAAATAGAAAAAGAGATTTAGGACAAGTCGATCTCTTTTTCTGTATCCCCTGTTATCAATGAACAGGAATGAATCTTCCTGTTCATTGATAACATGAGGACATGGTATGCTTACTATACCTACAACTATGAATGAACATGAGGTGATGCAGATCACTCCCATTCATTCATAATTGAGGATATAGTTAACATACCATGTCCTCAATTATCTACAAACACGCAGCGATCACTGATCCCAACTGCTTGTGCCCGCTCTCCTCTCTGACACGCTGTCACAGGAGGCTGAGCGAGCGGTGCGGGAGGTGAGCTCAGCCTCCTGTGACCGCGCTGGCTGTCTCCACCCACACACCGCTCTGCCGGACTGTGGATAGGCGGCGTGGGAGGAGAGACGCCGGCCGCTCACAGCGCTCTCGTCCTGCAGTGCTCGGCCAGCTGTCACTTTCTTTTCTCCCCGCTGGAACACAGTGCAGCGCCCAGCGGGGAGAAAAGAAACCAGGGATGCGCCGGTGTATCGGCTGAAACATGGCTCTTTCGGCATTATGCCAAAAGTGCCATTTTCGGCCGATATGTTTCGGCGGCCGATACAGTATATCGGTGCATCCCTAATCCCTACTGTACCCAAAATGTGGCATTACATACACCTTAAAGCTAAACTCCAGCCTTCCCTTTAGGCCTTGGCACAGTTGTACCAGCTCCTCTTCTGGACTGAAATTGCTTACTCTGATTTCACTGCATACTGTGAGCTTCTCATCCTGTGCATTGGAAGCTGCAGAAAATCAGACAGATCCCGGCTTATTTCCTGGCTGATTGACATCCAGCAGAATCTAGCTCTTTCCTACCCAGCCTGGCTTTCCCATCCCACCCCTTTCAATAATTGAATTTCAGTTGGATTATAATTCCATTTACCATCTGAACATCTGATATTTCTGCTTTCTGGGTTCAAGTTGCCCAAGTGTAACTTCAGGCTCAATATTAACAGAAGACAGGGCCAAAAAATTAAGCATTTAAACAAGTGTACTTTCCCAAAATCCTGGTAATACTCCTCACAGGGCATTACTCTTTGCAATTACATTTAATTGACACTGACTGCTTTTTAAGACTTCTCTCCCAGTTGAATAGCAAAGTATAGCAGCTATACCAGCTTTAGCCTCTGTCTTGTCTCACCCATCTCTGTATCCTCATTGCAGGCTGTCTGAGAAAACACTTTCCATGGTACATGTCTTCACTCTTCTCCACAAAACACCACACTCTAATATCTTCCCAACCAATCCGTGCAGAGATATTTGCATGTTAATGCAGTAGATGTCTCACGTACAAGCAGTTTCCCTCACCCTCCTTCCATTGCCCTACTGTGCAGAAGCAAGCAGGCTGGGGATGTGTTTACAGCAGGGAGCTAAGCTGCTGCTAATTTGCGCTGCCAGGGTTTTGTATGTATAGGGATGGCATGATTCAGAGGATCTAAGCTAGGAATGTGTCTGCACATGGGTTATATGCTTCAGAATTTGCTTACCGAGCTGCTGATCTTTTTTCTGTCAGATGTAGTACAATTGGAGGCATGAAGAGGTTAAAATCACTAAGCCACACCCATTTACCAATTTCACAGAGGGGGTTGGCATGGGCTAGTTTAGAAGGATTTATTGCCCTAACTGTAACAAGGAGTTGAAAAGTAACTTTGACACATATAAATAGTCTGTCAGACAGGCTAAAAAAACTATTTGGTAGGGAAACATACTTATCCTTTAAGATTTCCATACTCCTAAACATCACTAGCTCTTATATAGGTCTTACCTTAAATATCTCCCGTCCGACATCTCCTTCCTCCCGGATCTTTGCCAGCTCATCTTCCAGGGCCACGCACTGTTCACGGTACATGTCTGCCAGCCGGTTAGCCTGTGCAAGCTGTTCCGTGAGGCTCTACAAGTCACAAGTAGGAAAGCTCTGGTTAAACAAGGCAGGGTGAAAACAGTGTGAAAAGGTATTAAAGTCTAACTCCAGCCAAAATTTCATTTTTGGCTTTGTAATGACTGTGAAAGTGTCAAAGATGCCTTTCAAGCTTTTATACGAGTCTGTGACCCCATTGGGTAGATTTTCCTTAATGTCCTTTTCCTATGTTGCCAATGCAAGAGAAACATCCGTTCACAGATCTCTTCCTCTCTAAATGAAGCTGCAAGCGATGCTGACTGCATCACTTTTGGCTTTGCTTTTCAGCTAGAGAAGGCAGTGCAGAAGGTGACATTAGGGGTCTAAGAGCCGACAAGAGTCTCTTAATCTGTGTAAAGCCAATTGTCGGGGGCCCACTGCCAGCGCCATATGCCCTACATTGTGGCACCAAAAGGGTTAAACTATCATAAATCCCACTTGCAGTGGAGGTGAGGGAGGCAATTCAATAAAAAAAAGCCGAGTAAAAATCATATGGGTTTAGAAATTCAAACCCAATGTGTCTAAAGCCATTCCACGCTGCTCCTTACTCCAGTCCTTTCACAGCACACCTATGGCTTTTAAAATCTGCACAACACTATATAATCATCACCTTGACTTCTTCACTCCGTGATGTCCGAGCCACTCTCTCGGCCTTTGACAATCTAAAGATTTCGAGCTCGTTCTCTCTCTCCCGTTCTGGGTCACGACTCAATGTCAGCTGCTCCCGGCAGCGATCGAGTTCTTGCAGCAGTCTGTCTTTTTCCGCCATCCAGGACTTCTCGTTGGCGCGACCCTCAAACTTCAGCTGCAGGAAATCCCTGGTGCTCTCATAGAGGAGCTTCTGAGTCTTATTCAGCCTACAGATAGCAGATTTTTTTTATAGGCAAAAATACATAAAAGAGACATTAGTTCATTTACAAAATGCTTCATAGTTTAAAAACACTTTTTTGTGCATTTAACTTCAAAAACAAAAATCTTACCAGTTCTTCAATGTGGTGGCTGCATTAGTTTTATTTTTCCATTTTTTTTTCCAGCCCATGTTCTTTCCAGTATCAAACTTCCTGTCCTATAGTGACAATGCTTACTCACTGTACTGGTTCTATAGATCAGCAACATTGTCAGCCTGGGCTGCTTCCTCCTACAGAACACCCCCACTCTTATCTCTATAAAATGTGGGGAGATATTCTATAGTTCACAGTGAGTTGGACAGGGTTGATAACATTGTTTGAGATTACACTGCTGAGTGCACAGGACATGGGAATGCATTGGATATCTGGCAGGATCAACAGGCATTTTTTGCACTTATCTAACAGATATAACAAAATGCTTTCAACAGTATATACAAAACATATTTATTTATACATCTTTTAGCAGGAAAAGCTTTTATAAATTTATTATCTATGGGACTAATACACACACACACACACACACACACACACTAAAAGGCGTACTCACAGCTGTAAGATATAAAAAAAAACGGGAAGGCGCAAACAAAAGAGAACACTGCCCTTGGAAACTCACTTATCTGTCAGTTCTTTGACTTTGTCCTGTTCCCTCTGATGCTGCACCTGAGCCTCCTCCATCCGGATCCTCCGATCATCCAGTAGGGACTCTACCTGCTCTTTGGAGAGGCGGGTCTGCTCCTCCAACTGGGCCTGCAGTGCCTCCACCTGGAGGAATTAGGACACACAGAGACCGCTGAATTGTTAAGAAATACTGTACAGTTATACACAAGATGTCAGTTTTACCTTTGACAGACATCACAGTCCTACCTCTGATAATGTCATCCTTTCCAGAAGGAAGAAAACATCTTTGTTCAGCATAATAGTCCAGAGGCACCATATACTTTCTGGACTGAGATGCTGACTCAGATGACACAACCACTTCATTCCTTGTGCCTGCTGGTGAAGACAGTGTCACTTGCTATAAATTTACAATGTTGCAGTATGTTCACTGGGGGAGAGGAGACTGAGGTAATGTTCCATCCTGCCAGCAGCAGACTGAGGATATCATCTCAGCCTAGACAACGTCAGTGGACTGCAGCTCAAGGGTGGCTTTTTAATGATACAAGTCATTCTGAATTGAGAAAGCTGGTCGGATGTCCAGTGAAACGTCTTCAAGCAAAAATACAGCAAGTCCAGTTGCCCTTATTTTTACAGATGTTTTAACAGCTGTTTTTTCCTAGCTTTTTTATGAATTAGGAAATAGCCACACCAGTGAAAATGATGCATTATTTATGACATCAGGATACAAACTAGCAATTTTGCATTTTGCATTCATAAAACAGGCAGCACCGACTCACTTGAAGCAGAAGTGTCTGGTCATCCAGCTTTTCTGGCGCTTGGCTTCTGTCAGTCTTTCCATTTGATCGAAGTGGGCCTTTTTTTGTGGCTGCAAAAGAGAAAACAAAAATGGAATCATATTTATGGTCTGATCAAATGACAATGCAAAATAAACTGCAAATCACACAAGAAGAAAAGTGTAATCTAATAAAAACAAACAAACACCTTTTCAAGAGGTTATAATGGTCCATTTAAAAAAAAAAAAAAAAATCAGTTGTTGCTATGATTAAATGCCATGTTTTAAAGGAAAAGTGACAGGTTCTCTTGAACACACACCACACACACACTTCCACTCTCCGTTTGTTATTCCTAAATGTCTAGACTTTGTCAGAGCTTACAGACAGGTAATGGCCGTTTCCCCCTCCTCCACATAACATTGTTTGGCCTTGGTCATTGGCTGTTTAGGCCTGAGCACTGCATCTTGTAGAAGGCCATGTGCTCCCCCATACCCATAAGCATCTGTTATTTCTGACAGCTCCAACAGACTATGGCTCATGTCACACTAGCGATTCTGTTGCTGGAGAGAGCACACAAGCAACTGGATTGCTAAAATGTGCAGGGAAAACACTCAGCTGCTGTCACTCTCTAGTTGACACAAATCTGCTGAATTTAGGTCGCCGGGAGAAAGCAACACCTCGCTCATCCAGCCAGCAAGGGAGTGACACATACTGCCCTGCATAGCTTTCCTGTCCCTTGCAGGATTGATACTGTAACAAGAGCCTAATGGAGTGGTGGGGAACATGGTAAAGGTAAGTGTGACGGACCCCGATACTTAGGATCAAGATGTCCACCTCTGTAGTCTTCTTTGCTCAGGAGATACCCCGATGATCTTTAGCACCCAGTCACTAGCCGGAACCAAATGCAGGGTGGCACAAACTCATTTATTGAGCAACTGTGCAACCTTTTATATACAAAGTGATCAGATAAGATTATAACCCCATCACATGCACCCTACCCTCCCCAAACATTCTGACTACACAACCCTACAGGGGTCTAGCTGCTAAAGAGCTGCAGACAGCCATAGCAGGAGTCATAGCAAGGTGTCCTGAGCTCCTTGGAGTACAAAAGGGAGCCAAAGGGGACAGGAGAGGAGGGGGGGGGGGCGGACAGGGGGGGGGTGCCCGCAGTCTTTTGATAAACAGGTTACGCAGCATAACATAATTAAAAATAACCCAGCAATAACACACACATATCCCATAAACTGATGAGCATGTCGTCACAGTAAGTATCAATGGGACTTTCAAGATGACTCACAGAATCCCTTTAACCTAAATACAGATACTTCTATTTCTAATCTGGAACCATTTTTGAAGGGTGGGCTGAACTGCCTGCAAAGTGTGATCTCCTGAGAGCAACAGATGGAAGCTTGTATCACTCACTCCAACTTTCCATCTTATCTACCCAATCTCAGCAGCCACTGTGCCAGTTTTGAAAGTTTTGGCTGATATGAAGGCGTGTGTATGTGTTTTTTTTTATCACCATTGTTCTTATTTCAGCTATAGGAGCAGGCCAACACTTCCTCCATTATGTTTGTAATACTTCTTTTGTTTTATAAACTAATATGTAGTCACCTTACCGGTTAGCGGACGGCCCACACGCTCTTTTCTCTCATGCGGATCTCCAGATTGGACAGTGCGCTGTGGTATGGTGACCTAGGGGTGAAAAAGCACAGTTCACCATGTAACTTTTTTAATTGTGCTCTACTCAGCTTATTCATCATGAATAGTATGCATTGTTCTGTATTTAGTAACTGTTTTTATCCTCAGCAGAACGTTTAAATCAATCAGCATAAGGAAATATGAAACCAATGGATGCCGCTGCTATATGAAAATTGCTCTTTTTTTATGCACCAGAAAACTCAGGATCCCTGGAGCAAGCAGAGAACCATACATCAACTCTGTTCCCATTTTCAGTTGAGACATGCCCATCATATCCCAATCCAAATGTAGGTGCCCGCAATGCACTATGGGATGGAATCTCAGAGCACATAGGGAGTGTGTAGTATGCACTGTCCCTCCTACCCCTCTGCAGCTCCCAACCCCCTGTACCCCAAGCTGTCGGAGTTGCTGTGTATCTACAGCAGTTGTAATAGCTGCAGTAAACAAAAATATTACTGTGAGTTTTTTAAACACTGCTCAGACAAAGGATGAAGAGATACAAAGTAACATTGTTACTTTATTTACTCTGTTTCATTCATCTGTCCCTCAAATGAGTGATGGAGGGACACTGAGAGGAGGGGGGAATCCCTGTGGGGAGAGGACCACAGGCTGAGTGATCAGTGATCACTCACCTGCAGTGTCACACGCCAGCTCCAAGTATTGGGAAGAGTACATTTTTGTCTCCCAATTCCTTTAACCTCTTATTAACCCTTAGTTCACCCTAATCAGCCCTAGCCAACTCCTTTTAGCCTTCTTTCCGTAGCTATTATTTTCCTGCTGATTTTTTTCTCTTTAACATTCAAATTTTGCTTCATTTTGTAAAAAAAAAAAAAATGTGTGTTGCCATGAGAAAAAGAGCACAAAATGAACAAAAAGCCTATATTTAAATTTGTAAATAACTTTGCAAAGCTTTGTATTCATTTTAAACATGAATTTTATAATAAAAATTGTATATTATCAACAGTAACTTTTTTTTTTTTTTAGACTCTGATCAAGTTGTTACATTTTTTGTCTACGGATTTTATAAAATAAAAATCATATTTGCAAGACAATATGACCAAAAGAAATCCTAGCACTACAGCGTTACTAAATAAACAGGCCATGAAAGAAATAAAATGTAAAAATTGCTCTGGCCCACAGGGGATGTACAGGTGTGAGTTGAAGTAGTTAAAATGATCTGCTGCATTTTAAAGCAGTTTTGGCTAGAGAAGGGTATCGCTGGTACAAAGTACAAAGGGGAAGGGTTTTGTTGCATTCGGTGCATCCAAATATCTAATTGGTAATTAGAAAAACTGATAAATTAGTCTGCATTGCTGTGATGTTCATATTCTGATAAAAAAGGAGTTCCACCCACAAAAATGGCTTCCTTTATTATACATGGGTGTTAGAAAACATTGAGCTGGCCTCAGCAGCCCCTCTTTGCTGTGTAGACATGGACAGTACCTTCGATACCTGTATAACTGAAGAAAGCAAAGTCAGACATAATAGCTTTACTTCTTTCTTCCTACCTTGTTTGGAGGCTCTTTGTGGAAATAAGTGATTTCCCCACTGCTGGTTCCAACCAGAGCCAGGAGCTGTTGGATTTTCTTTCTGTCCTCCAGTTCTCTGCAACAAATAATACAACGTTAGCAGCCTACAACACAAACTCAGAACTCTCTATAAATGTACAGTATGACACCACCACCCACCTCCAAATTTCCAAGGCAAAGAAACGTGCTAGTAGGTGTAAGGTAAGTACACAGTAGACTGTTGGAGCAAAGCCCTGCCTGTATGAAGTTTGCACACCAAGAAATGGAAACCAAAAATATCGAAAGAACAAAATGGCTATGCAAACCACAACAGGTCATGAGAATGAGAGCCCTAAAAATGAATTCTACTTAAATTATTATGGGGACATAGACCCCCGCCCTCTGTTATGGTACATAACAGAGGGCGAGGTCTATGTCCCCTTAATAATTCAGCAAGGACAGGATTTTATGGTTAACAAAACTCGCCTTTTATCATTTACTGGGGGAACAACAGCCTTCCTAAAAAAAAAAACTGCTTATATAAGTGACAAAGGTTGAAAACATACCCATGTCCATAGAGTTCAACCGAAACACCTTGCATCCTTAGAACCCTAAACCTGCAGTTGACCCAGAGGAAGGCACCACAACAACCTTAAAGCATGGTCTTATTTACTCGAGCAGAAAAACATCCTTCCTCATCTCCAAAGGCAATCTTGGCACTCCAGCTGTGGTGAAACTATAAACCCCGTCATGTATCTGGGAGTCATGATGTGGCTGTCAGAAGATTGTGATGCCTCATGCGATTTGTAGCCCCACAACAGCTGGAGTGCCAAGGTTGCCTACACCTGCTCTAGATCAGCATTTTACAGCAGTGGTGTCAAATATGCAACCCATTGAGAATCTCCCTGCCCACTGGAAATGGCTACTTTGGTAATAAACACCATCAGGATTTACGCTGATTGGCTTGATTTAATTAATTAGTCTGAGATCCATAGCATTGACTGTTGTCACATAACTAAAAGCACACACAGCTGTGCGCTCCGAGTTTACAGCTGCAAAATAGATTAATGTTGTCAGAGCATGGCATGCTGTGCCTGACAGCAGCAATCAACCATCTGCATATGCCAAGTGGGTAAACTGCTTTGTCTCTAGGCACACAGTGCCCTTGTGACAGCCTGCTGTGCATTGTGAGTAAAACTCCTGTCATTCAAGATAACAAAATAAAACTTGTAGATTAGAAGTGTGGGCTGGTGACCAGACCTGAGGCACTGAAAGGCCCAGAAGCTACAGAGGGATCATGCTGTGACCCATAAGTACAAACCCCTTTAAGGAGTACATTGGGGTAACAAGCTGCGGCATCCAGCAGCTGTGCCTTTGTGCAGTTTATCTGACAGTACAGACAGCATGCAGTGCCAGTGAATGAGGAGACACCCTTCTGCAAACTGTATCTTGTTCAATGCCCAGTATTCTCTTTCCATGTAGAAATCACAAAACACACGCATGATGCCCACCTGATTTTTAGCCGATCGTTCTCGGAGTACAATCTCAGCACATGCTCACGCTCTTGGAACAGATAGACTTGCATGTCACTGAGAGCCTTTTGCAGCTCTGCAATCTCTTCCTCCCGCTGACGCATCTCCCATTGCAGCTTGTGCTAGAACAGAAAACATCAATCAATTCTTCATTTTACCTGACAGGCCCAACACTTAGTAAAGGCTATTTGCGTTACTATTTAGAACAATAAGGTTACAAAGAGAACACACTGAAAGGAATTTATCAAAACGGGAGCAGACCGAATCGGGAACAGCTGTGCATGGCAACCAATCAGCTTCAATCATTTTCAAATCATAACTGAACAAACTAAAGAGAGAAGCTGATTGATTGCCATGGGCAACGGCCCCAGATTCTCTCTGCTCCAGTTTTGAAAATTCCCTCTAATGTATGATGACTTAGTAATTTCCACTATTGCTGTGATGAGCTGGGGGACCTGGGTTTAAACAGTCTAGAGTTTGCAGGTTCTCCCTGTGTTTGTGTTACAGTACAATAGGGTTCTCCGATTTCCTCCCAGGAGAGGTAGAATTGGACTTACAAAATGTCACTAGTGGTCCAGTGCTAGGATCAGAGGGGAAGCACCAAACAGCAATATTTACAATGAGTTTCCTTTTATTGTTCTCTTGCATGGGCAAATCCAGCACAAAACCTAATGGGGGGGGGTGGCAAAGGCTGCAAAAAGGAGTCAAGACTCTCTGCCATTCCAGTAACATGCAGTGTTTTATCTGTTTGTCTGCAGGTGATTGGTTGGTGGAAGATACAGTCCTCGGATTGGTTCTTGCGTAAATAAAAACATAAGTTGTTTCTAATGTGGCGTTCTGCTTTTAAAATATATGAGCCAAAACTGCAGAGTGGGGGAGGGATTAGAATCTCTGTCAAACTATTACTGCTGTGTCCCCACCGCTAGAGAGGAATCCCTTCACTTCCTGGCCCAGCGACCACATAGGAAGCAAAAGGAAAAACCCCTTACAGTAAAAGGGAACCGCCCCCATTGAAAGTTCTAGAAGGACAGGCATTCCTTGCTTGAAGATTTCCCGCCTTCTGTTACCGGGACACAAAGCAAGAACAAAAAAATCTCCCCAAGAGAAAGGAGGCAACCGAATGGACCAGAGGACTTACCTGGTTGGCTGGAGCTTCACATAACTACTCCAATATCAATTATACAATATGGCTGCTGATGTAAGGCGGAGCTTATAAAAAGTCTACCATACTTCTTGGTTTAAGGTGGAATTTTCTATAAAAACAGCCAGGTCTATGGGTACCCTCAGGGAGATCTATACTTAAATGTTAACATAAAGCTCCAGTCTTGCCATCTCTCCCAGGGAAAATACTGCCTCAGGTTCCCTCCAGTAAAGAAAGCATCTTGCCAATTTATTTCACCGGTCTTTAAAAAGAGAGAAAAGCCCCCGATACTCACCTGCTCCTCATAAGTGGACTTGTACTGCTCCAGTTTCCTCGCCAGCTCTTCATGCTCCTCATCAAACTCTGCGATCTTTTTGCGGTAATACTCCAGCAGTTCACGGGACGGGCGGAGGTACGCCAAGCGCTCATTTATGGGAGGCAGAGGGGTAGAGTCTACTTGGTGACAAGTAAGGCTGGAGGATATGGAGGTCTCCGGAGTCTGGGGTGTTCTATACCTGCGGAAAGAGATGACACGTGATGTGAGGGTTGAGGAAATTTTCATGAGGAACAGATGGCTGGTAGAGATTTAAAAGGCCAATTTGGTCCTTTTAAAGGCAAATGCAGCTAAATCCTGTGTGCACATTAACGCATACAGCGTCTCTGACAACTGGCTGCTTTCCATCAATTGCCAAGCATTTGGTTGTCATGCAGTACAATGCGAATCAAATGGCTGCTGCCTTCTGCCAAAACAAGGTGAACATGGAAGTGTGTACCAGGTTGTTCAGCTTGAGCTGAAAGACTTAAATAGACCCTGTCGCCTTGCCCATTCAGCGAAAAGTCACAGAGTCTCTTTAAAGCTAAATTGTAGGCAGATATGAAAGACATAAATTAATACATCACTAAACTGTTATATACAAATTGTAACATATTAAACCTAAATTATATTAAATAAATGCAATATTTAAATGCAAGCAGTGCAAGTACCAGCATTTGACAAGGTATCTGCATTTTGCAGTACCTGTACGGCAAAGTACAGAGTGGGAGCAGAAGAAGCAGCACAAATAGCCAATCAATTCATGTGCGGACTAGAAGCATGCTGGAAGGAGAAGAGAAAGAGAAGAGCTCATCACTGTGTTGCTTCTGCTTTACTGTGCAGTCACAGGCTAGGGGCAAGTCCCTGGCAGCCTAGGCTCAGAGGAAGTAGATCATTAACGTGGTGGGAAAATGTCATCAAATGGCAGAAAAGTACTGCAGGGGACAACTACACACTGAAGATGAATAGTTGCACGAAAACTGCTTTTTGATCTTGTACCTGGCTATTAGCTTGTTTGCCATTTTTGGCTGGAGTTCTGCTCTATATAGAGAAGACAAGAAATACAGAAGCGCACTACCAAGTGGTGAAACCCAGATCCCCTCTGACATCGTATTGTTCCCAGCACCAACTATTGCCACATTACCCTGCCCACCACCACCAGCAACCCTGGACTCCCAATTCATCCACACTTCGTCGCTGACAACGCGCTAGTACCCACACCCTGGTAAGTCTCATTCCATTATTCCCTTATTATTTTTTCTTGCTCAGTCACCACTTGGTAGTGTGCTTCTGTATTTCTTGTCTTCTCTATCAGTAAAACGTTGGACACCCCGGTCCGCAATTTTAGGAGCCGCACACCCAGTACCGCAACCGACATTTGTTTACCCTCACCTCAGGGGCAGCGCTGCATTAGAGGACATTTCTCCCAATTTTTTCGCTGCTCTATAGCCCACCCCTTGACCTAGGTTAGGCTCCATTGCTGCTCATTCTTCCATCATGAAAAATACTCAGTGCTAGGGGGTAGCTTTTGACATCCCATGATGCAGTATTTGGTGCTAGAGAGCCAGACCTCTACTCAACAAAGAGCGCAGTGATGCAGGTCCCCAGCTGACTTACACACCCACTGCTCAAGAAACATGTGCACTGTTGTCTGGTGCATTGGGCCTGGCAGACCACTGCACTGTCTGATGAGCAATGTTCCAGCTCTCCGGTGTGCTGCAAGGGTATTTTAATCCTTGTGGCAGCAAAATCCTCTGAGTGTTCCTGTTCATTCATAACTTCAGAACATTGTGTGTTTAGTATAATCACAACTATGAATGAACAGGAGGTGATGTAGATCACTTCCCATTCATTCATAATTGAGGCTATAGTAAAAAAAAAAAACTATGTCCTCAATTATTTACAATCAATCAGCGTTCACTGATCGCTGAGTGTTTGCACTTGCTCTCTTTCCTGACAGCTGTCACAGGAGGCTGGGCGGGGCGGTGCAGAACCCCCCCGCTGGGACACAGAGCAGAGCATAGCGGGGAAGGAGAGAAAGAATGGTATGCACCGCTGTATCGGCCAGAAAATGGCACTTTCGGACGATATGTTTCGGCGGCCGATATATCGGTGCATCCCTAATTATATATATATAATAGGCCCCATTCATACTGAGCGACATGAAAATCGCGCGACTTTGAGCAACGTGTCGCGCGACTTCTTCCTATTGGGCTGTATGCAATCAGGAGCAATATCGCTCAAAATCGCTCTAAAAAAGGGTCATGTAGGAGCTACCAGCGACGAGCTACAAGTGATATTGAGCGACGAGATGTTAACAGCTCCATTGAAATGTATTGGTGATGCTACATAGAGCGATATCGCGCGGAAATATGAGCGATAAATCGCTCAATGTGAACGGGGCCTTAATGAATAAATGTAATCACTGCTAACTTGTTTTCATACCTGACTCCTCGAGGGTCCCGGCGTGGAGTACGATCCATCTCTCACTCCTGCAAAATCCACTACAAAGAAAAAAAGGTTTTTGAATAGATTAAATATCTTGTTCCAATAATGTGTACGCAGTCAATGAGCTTCTATCACACAGCAAATGTCCAAAAGAGAGCTTTGTTTTACTGACGGAGGAAATCCCACCTCCCGACCCTTAGTCCTGACTATAAGAAGTGGTCGGGGGGTGTTTTATGTTGTTGCAGAGGTGCTAAAAAAGGGTTTATTAATCCAGCAGCGGTCTCCTAGTTATTTGGTCACATGTGCTCCTGTTTACGGTTGCCTTTGATAGATCTCCCTCACCGAGTCCATCATGTTGTGTGGGGATCTTTGCCTCCTCTGCTCCCGCCTCAATCAGCAGGGAGAGAATATGGCACCTGGTTTATAAGGGTGCTAGATGCCAAGTTTGAAATTAGGCAATCCTCCGATAATGGAAAGCAGCAGGCAGAGGTGTGCTGTGAGAGTAGGGGACCACACTCAATCCACCTGCTCCTAAATTAGGCCTTCACAGGAACGTCTGGGCAGCAGAGACAAGCAGCAACATTTCAGCAAAATTGATTCGCCTTAAAAGGGTTTGGCAGAAATGAGCAAAACACTCATAAGACTGGAGCAAAATGGAGATTTTGTATGGAGGTACATCGGAGTACATGGAAGCAATATTTTGCTGCTCATCCTTGCTGGACCCCCCCCCCTTTCTTCATGTCTGCGGTTCAGCTCTGTGCACATGAATGGATCTGGTCATACAGTCAGAACCACATACTGTGCCAGCCCATGGGCAGACGACATCTCAGAATGCAATAAGCATTTTCCCTGCTCCGCCCCCGCACAAATTGCGTGGCAGCAGAGGAAGCCAGACACATAACATGACTCCCCACGCGGCGGCGCCAGAGGAAGCCAGGCACAGAGCATGACTCCCCGCGCCAGAGGAAGCCAGGCGCAGAGCATGACTCCCCGCGCCAGAGGAAGCCAGGCGCAGAGCATGACTCCCCGCGCCAGAGGAAGCCAGGCGCAGAGCATGACTCCCCGCGCCAGAGGAAGCCAGGCGCAGAGCATGACTCCCCGCGCCAGAGGAAGCCAGGCGCAGAGCATGACTCCCCGCGCCAGAGGAAGCCAGGCGCAGAGCATGACTCCCCGCGCCAGAGGAAGCCAGGCACAGAGCATGACTCCCCGCGCCAGAGGAAGCCAGGCACAGAGCATGACTCCCCGCGCCAGAGGAAGCCAGGCACAGAGCATGACTCCCCGAGCCAGAGGAAGCCAGGCACAGAGCATGACTCCCCCGCGCCAGAGGAAGCCAGGCACAGAGCATGACTCCCCGAGCCAGAGGAAGCCAGGCACAGAGCATGACTCCCCCGCGCCAGAGGAAGCCAGCCACATAGGTTGTCAAGGTGTCAGTCTGCACACTGCAAGGATTAAAAGTATAAGTGATAACTGCCGCTCAATATAAAGCAATATCATGCTATGCTGCAGATGTCCCACCACCACACGTCCAGCTCTGCTGCAGAACTCCCTTCCAACACACACAAGGCAATCTCCCACCTCTCCAGCCTGCTCCCCGATCTCCTTTGCCCGCTCCTGCTGCCGCCTGCTCTACCCGGACACCTGGAAACCAAACAAGCCGCCTCTGCCAACCAAACCAATCAAAACGCGTCTTCGTTCCTCCACAAATCAGCCACCGCATCATTGCCTACAAGAGCACGGGGCATGCCGGGAGATGCAGTTCAAAGCGTAAAACGGCGTCACCTGACGCAGCCTGACAGGATTGCAGTTATTGATTTCGTTCTGTTTATAGGTTTCATCAAGTCTATAAGAAATATAGTCCAGGGATAATATGAGCAAGAATTGCTTTTATTAATTATTGTTAATATAAGATATAAAGTATACAAAGTCATACACAGCTTATAGTAAAAAACATTTCTCTTTGCCATCTAGGTGTGTTGCGTTATCGCATAGGTTTTCGCAATATACGTCAACGCATCTAAGCCTGTTGTTACCAAAATGTATCCTGCGATTATCGTAACACATGTCCCATCACTGGCGGAACTACCAGGGTCGCATGTCCATATCTAGGAACCCTAAATAGAGTGCTTGTTCTTTAACCCTTTCGCTGCCAAGACTTTTTTGTGATTTTTGCACATATTATAATCCACATTTTAGGCCTGAAGATTAAATAAAACCCCCAAAACATAATATATATTCGGAAAGCAAAGACCCTGTAGAATAAAATGGTGGCAGTTGCAAAATGTTACATTGCAGGATATTAGCGCAACTCTTTAGCAAACCTAACATTTCAGTATAAAAACAGTTAATTTTAGTATCCCAAAACACGATATAATACCCAATACTTTAATAAAATATAAAAGATGAGGTTACGATAAATAAATATATATACAACATGCCCAGGTAAAAAAATTGTGTGCGTCCTTGAAACGGCAACAAAATATAGTACCCCAAATTGTCAATAGGCAACGCTTTAAAAGCCCATACAGGTCATCGGTTGAGAGATATCCATGGATATTGGCCCTACTCAGCTCACTCTGGTACGCGGCGATACCTAACATGTAACGCAATCGTTGTTTTCGTATGTAATCACACCCGACGTGTGTTTATGTTAATATGCGCACGCTCGCGGTGGCAGGGGGATGTTAAAGGATTTTTTTTTATTTTTACATTTATTTAATTTTATTTATTTTTTGCTTAAGTGAATTGCTATCACATAAGGGGGTTTAACAAGTCCCCTATGTGATACCCCATTGAAGGTGGCAGGTTCTCTTTAAGGTGACATTGAAGGTCAATTAGACTCCTAGTGTCACCTTTCCACTCCAATTAAGCTATTGGAGTACACATTGCTCTCCAATAGCTTCTACTCTGGCTTCTGCAACCAGGGAATGACAGCTGATGGACTGGAAGTGGATGCATTCAGCAGGGAGGAGGTCTGTAAATGGTGGGCGCTCTACACTGGCCCTTGGAAGCAATCTGGCAGCAGCTCAGCTGTCAGAATCGTTTCCAATGTAAAGCCGACACTCGGTCTTTCTGTGGCCCCCAAGTGGTAGAACACGCTAATCCATGCGACTCTTGACATTGCAGTCGATAATACAAAATCACCTGCACTCCATACAGCGTACAGACCTCGTTGAAAGGTTGGTGCTTGAAGTGACAACACGGATGGCGCCGTGTCAGATACAGTCCATAATAGAAGTCACCAGCACTCGATTATATGTGCAAGAAGTAAAGCACTTTTTATTAAATTGTCACATGCGTCATACAGCCAACGTTTCATGGCCACGCAGGGTCCCTTCTTCTGGGCGACATAGTGACATTGCAGCACACAACATGTGGTAATGCACTACCATTCATTGTGCTGAGTTGCATTGGAAAAAATGATGCATGTCCATCATCTGTTAGTCCTGGTGCGTTGGCAGCCTATTCCCTCACGTTGGGTACATTTTCTATCACTTCCTGTTTCTCTGGTACAGGAAGTGAGGGTGATTTCTCCAAAGCAACATGGACATTTCCCAACCTAATTGAAGGGTTCCTCCTTTTAAATAACTTTCAAATCTCAGGGAACCCCTGCTAACAATTACATCTTCAGCTCACCAGACATTAGCGTGGACAGTACATTGTAGATACAAGAATACATAAAAGAATGGGGAATGTGACGTACTTAGCATAGTTGACACCCAGGGCTGCTCTATACAACTTTATTATGTTCAGTAATAATCATGAAATGAAATAAATAATATTGTCCATATGAAATGCAAGTGGTAAAAATTGTAGTGCTCTCTCACATTGGTGGTCAGTGGAAAAGTTACTCCTTCAATTGGTGGTCAGCGAAGGGTAATCAGTGGGAAGAATGCTCCTTACATTGGTGTAATGTCACCACATCCTGTAATGTCTCCAGTATTGCCAACCATCTCCCCCTCCAACATCTAATAATGTCTCCATCATCCATATCTTTTCCCTCCATTAATGTCCCTGGCATCCCCAAAATCCAATAATGTCTCCATCATCCATATCCTCTTCCTCCATTAATGTCCCTAGCATCCCCAAAATCCAATAATGTCTCCATCATCCATATCCTGTCCCTCCATTAATGTCCCTAGCATCCCCAACATCCAATAATGTCTCCATCATCCATATTTCCTCCCTCCATTAATGTCTCTAGCATCCCCATCCTCCATTAATGTCTCCAGCATCCCCATCCTCCATTAATGTCTCCGGCATCCCCAACATCCCCATCCTCCATTAATGTCTCCAGCATCCCCATCCTCCATTAATGTCTCCAGCATTCCCAACATCCCCATCCTCCATTGGTTGGGAATGTCTCCAGCATTCCCAACCATACCCACAGTGGTGTAGTGGTTAGCGCTTCTGCCTTATAGCACTGGGGGTCCCTGGTTCAAATCCAAGCCAGGTCACTATCTACAAGGAGTTCGTGTGTCCTTGTGTGGGTTTCCTCCAGGTACTCTGGTTTCCACCCACACTCAAAGACATGCTGGTATTGTCTAAATTGTCCCTGTATGTATGCCTTAGATTGTAAGCTCCTTGAGTGAATGTGTGCGGTGTAAATTGTTGGCGCTATATAAATACAAATAATACCACCCTCTTGCCTCCAGCATCCCAAGTCTTTTCTACTTCCACCCACTCAGCCCCCTGCACCCTCTCTCACGATGATCCCAAATCATAGGCGGCCGCACATTCCCTACTCCCAAGTAATAATAATCACTAGTAGCAGAGGCTGGTGGAATTGCCTGCTCCCCCGGATTCTGATTGGCTATTCGCTGCTCCAACGCTCCCTCTGGCGGCCGCTCCCAGTGTTGTAGGGTATAGTGACTGGATTCTCCTCCCCCGAGCTCTGATTGGTTCCTATAAGGCTCTCGGCTCCCTCTGGCGGCAGGTTTGGGCGGTGCAGCGCTGTGTGGGACGCGGAGGGATATGCGTCACTCACTGCTCCGAGTATCCCTCCACCGGATCTCATCCTCCTCACACCGGCGGGGTCTCGGTGTCCCTTACACCTCTTCTCGACCGCTGAGCCCCTCGACGTAGTCCCCTCCCTTCCTCCTGTCACGGCTGCGCACTACGTCTCGACCGGCGGAGGAGGACAGTTCCGGCTGCCTCTGACCCCGACTTCCGGCCCTGGACTTGGAACAAAACAAACCGGTGTTTGCTGTCCTGTACCGGAGAAAACAGGCTGGAAGTGTCACCCGAGAGAACGCGTGTGGGAGGGGCTGCAGGGGCCACTGGAGGGACCAGAAGTACCGGGGCTGGTGGCCGCAGAGAGAAGCCACCTGATCATGGGACCCCTTTTCGACTCATGCAGAGGCCTATTTACCTGAAGAGATCTCGGAATGCTTCATTACTTGGTAGCAGCTTGGAATAATCCATTACCTGGACCGACCTGGGGGTGATCTATTACCTGGATACGTCTTGGAATGATCTATTATCTGGAGAGACCTGGGTGTCATCTATCACCTGTACAGATCTGGAAGTGATAAATTACCTGACAAGGCCTGAGTAGTAATCTGGAGAGATCTGAGGAGTGATGCATTACCCGGAAAGATCTGGGGGTGATCTATGATCTGGAAGTGATCTAACACCTGATAAGGCCTGAGGAGTAATCTGAAGAGATCTGGGGTGATCCATTACCCGGAGAGACCTGAGGGGTGATCCATTACCTGGAGAGACCTGAGGGGTGATCCATTACATGGAGAGACCTGGGGGGTGATCCATTACCTGGGGAGACCTGTGGGGTGATCCATTACCTGGGGAGACTTGGGAGGTGATCCATTACCCGGAGAGACCTGGGGGTGATCCATTACCTGGGGAGACCTGTGGGGTGATCCATTACCTGGGGAGACTTGGGAGGTGATCCATTACCCGGAGAGACCTGGGGGTGATACATTACCTGGGGAGACCTGGGGGGGAGGGGGTGATCCATTAACTGGAGAGACCTGGGGGTGATCCATTACCTGGGGAGACCTGGGGGGGGATCCATTACCAGGGGGGTGATCCATTACCTGGCGAGACCTGGGGGGTGACCCATTACCTGGGGAGACCTGGTCTGGACCCTCTATCAGGATACATCTGATGGTTATTCATTACCTGAAGAGGCCTAGGAGTGTCCCTTTTAACAGCAGCAGTTCTGTGAACCTGAATTGCTCGGATCTTGATTGTGATCTTATGGTGAAATCGGTCATGTTCTCCATATGGATTCTGGATTGCGACACCTACAGGGTAGACCCGTCATGGTGCAGTTAGTGGCACAGCCTGAGGGTATCTTGGGGAGGAATCTACTGGTTGTCTCTGAATGTCTGGATGAATTATAATTTGCAGCTTCACTGAAGGATTCTGGGACTGTCTTGCAGCCCTTTAAAAGTTGGGGTGTTACATGAGACCAGATCTAACCCCTACCTTTCCCTGGAATACGAGTGGCAGATGAACAAAGGGCTTTGTACTACCAAGAAAAGCGGAGGGTCCTGTTGTGACAGGGCCACATGCCTCTCCGTCCTCTGGCACTCCACACTCCAAGCATCTGTGCTGCCTTTTATTGCTCTGTACACGTAACTGTATGCTGAGAGATTAGTATTAACCCCCGGGATGGCTTCGTACAATGAATTTGTTCCCCCACCGGAGTGCCCAGTCTTTGAGCCGACCTGGGAGGAATTCTCAGACCCCCTCAGCTTCATCGGGCGTATTCGTCCCATTGCTGAGAGAACCGGAATATGCAAAATTAGGCCGCCTAAGGTAAGCATGCCCTGTACACCGAGATCTTCTGACCTGGAAGGTTTATTCAACAGAATTATTTGCATGCAGCTGGCAGATGGAATAAAAATGCTCCTGTCAACAAGCAAAGCACCTGTGTGAGAAGCCTCAGATGGACTCCCTGGTCATCTACTATTTCTGAGGCAGCAAAGCTGAAAAGTGATGTCCTCTTATCAGGGTGTCACACCTTGCTAAGCCCTTTTAAGATGTTCCTGTTAGGGGGGTGCAAAGAGAGAAGCCATTTTGTGTAGCTTAGAAAATTCCACCTGATTCCTCACAATGTGACGGGGGGAACATTTGGATAGGCAATGCCAATATTCAGCAGGACACAGAGGTGGAATTTATCAAAACTGGGCAGACAGAATCTGGAGCAGCTGTGCATGGCAACCAATCAGCTTCAATCTTTCATTTTCAAAGTTTAAATAATCAAACTGAAGATACAAGCTGATTGGTTACTATAGCCAGCGGCTCCAGTTTTGATCAGTTCCACTCCTATAGAGAGAGATTGCATTAAAAACCTGACAGGGGTTCTAACCCTTCCACCCTCCATTCAAAGCAATGGGGAAAAAAATGTTTCGGCTTTAGATAACACAACTTGTTATTCATTGATTCAAGTGCATCTGTCATGACAGAAGTATGCTGACCTGCTCCTAAAAATGCCAGCCATGAAAATCACGCTGTAAAAAAAGTCACCTTATCTCTCTACTTGTTCCAGGTCAGTGACTTGGAATGCATTGAAGCATAGGCATCAACATAACAGTAAAGGAAATAACATTCTGAAAATGAGACGTTAGCTACGGCCACCTACATCATTCTCTTCTGACAGGTGTATCAAGTTTAGAAAAACAAAACTAGCCCACCCTCCCTATCCCCCTACAGCTATCCTGGGGACCCCCAACTCCCACCCAGATGATTATCTTTGCTCCACAGTGGCGGCCTCCTCCATTGCTGATCACATCTGTCCAGTGAGTCTCTATAGACTTAATTGGGATCTTACTCCTACACTACAGATACTGGGGGGGCTGATGTATGAAGTATTCACCCAAATGCCGTTTGCACAGCATTACAGCAGCTAGATGGCGTTGAGCAGTTTAGGAAATTGCTATGCTCCTCTTGGTCTATCTAGCTACTGTACTGCCACGTGAATGCCTTTTGCCCAGCTATATGCTGGGTTAAAGTGTAAAGGCAAAAGTCCCCCCCCCCACAGTGCTAAAGTAAGGGCTTACCTTAAATGATGTCTCTCAATCCGATCTTCTTTCCTGTAGTTTTTAGCTGTCCCTCCAGCACTGGTGCAGGTCTCTGATCCAGCGCTGACTCCTCTGTCCTCCTCTGATGTCCCACGGTGTCTGTGCGGGTGCACGCTGCTCCATAGACTTACCTTGTGTCTCTCCTCATCTCCCGGCCGAACATCTGAACTGCGCATGTGCCCGCCCCAAGATCCTTTGCGGCCGCCCGAGAAATTTTCAGATGTTCGGACGGGAGTGCTCGGCGGAGACACAGGTAAGTATTAACCCTTTGAAAAGGTTTTTTTTTTTTTAAATCGTCTTGCATATATCTACTGCTTGCTAGCACTAGATATATGCAAGAACATGCAAGGGTTTAATAACCCTTTAAGCCATTATACATCAGCCCCCAAGGGTATCGCCCCATTCAAGTCTATGGGGATTGTTCTGGCAAGCAAGGAAGCTCATAGTGGGAGAGGGGGAAGCAGCTCAAGGAGCCAATTAGCTGTGCTGCAGTGCTAATATGCAGCACGGAGCTGTACTGGCCGGCTGTTAGTCGTGCGAATGAGGCCTAAGGAAAAATAGTACAGGTGTGTTTTTTGGTGCATCAATGTGTGCTTGTGGGCCCATAGACTTCGAATGCAGCGCACACAAAATGCGTTTTTGCACATGCCAACAAACCCCTAGCAACCTGTACTTTATTTGACTTTTATTGGACAAAATAAAACCTCCGAATGCATACAAATGTGCATCAAAAAGCACACAAAAATGGTGACGCAATGGTGTGAGCCTAGCCTAAGGGTCATTCCTGGAGAGTAGTGCAAGTGCAAGGTAACGACACATGGACTGCTTTGCATAGGCAAATCTATATTTCCATTCTTTTATCCTATCTGCAAGCTTGTTTAAGGAGAACTCTAGTTTAATTTTAGTGCGCACACATTTATAGTAAGTATCAGTTTTAACCCCTTCATGACCGAGGCCATTTTTTTTTTTTTCTCCATTTTTTGCACCAATGTTATTATCCACATTTTAGGCCTGAAGATTACTTCAAACCCCCCCAAACTGAAAGCCAAGACCCTGTAGAATAAAATGTCAGCAGTTGCAAATTTGTATGTTGCATGATTTTGGCGCAACATGTTTTCAAACCCCCACATTTAAAAAAAAATGCACTTAAATGCCCCAAAACACAATAAAATACCAATTTTTTACAATAAAATATACAATACGAGGTTTTAATGAGTAAATAGATACCCAATATGCCTAAACACTGTGTGTGTGCGTGAAACCAACACAATACAGTACCACAAAATGTCCATTGATGCTCTAAAAGCCCCATACAGGTCATCAGTTTAGAGATTCTCATGAATATTGGCACTATAATTATTGCTCTCACTCCGGCGTGCGTGGGGATACCCAATCGTATTCGTTCGTAGGCACACCAGACACGTGTTTACATGATGATGTGCGGGGGACTTTACATATTTTTTTTTATTATTTTTACATTTATTTCATTTAATATGTTTTTTAAAAACTTTTCTTTTTACTTTAATTGCTATCACATAGCGTACGTAGGTGACCCAACATGTGTTTACGTGAAGATGCGCAGGTTCGCGGGGGTTGGAGGACTTTTAAAAAAAAAATTTCAATTTATTTTTACATTTATTGTATTTAATATTATTTTTTAAACTTTTTTTTTTTGTTGACTTCAAATGCTATCACATAGGGGCGTTTACAAGCTCCCTATGTGATAGCATATTGGCAGTGACAAGTACTCTTTAAAGTGATACTGGGGGTCCAAAAGACCCCTAGTATCACCTTTTCACTCTAAATAAGTTATCGAAGTGCAGATTGCCTGGCTTCAGGAGCCCCACTGCCAGGGTTACGAATAATTGTGCCCAGAGTTCTTCTTTAAAACGGCTGAGAATACAGGATAAGCCACATAGAGAGTGTATTGTTTTTGATCAGCCTTGGCAGTCTGAGAAATGATAACATTTAGGAGCCCGTCTGCCCATTCCAAGAGCCAGCAGGATTTTGTTTAGGGTCTAGCTCCATTGATAACTAGAGAAAACCTCAAAAGGTACAATCTGTGATTGGCGACCTGGCTCCTGGGATTTGTCCAGCCCTGGACTGACAGCAGTAAAACATATGTATTGCACTACTGAGCAGAAAACACAACCGGCACATGTAACAGGAACACGGGGACCATGAAAATAAACATATTCAGACATTTAAAGTGTGTTAGAAAACTTTATCAAAATGACAATTTGAGTTAAAAGTGACAGATCTTTAAAATTACCCAAATTGTCTACAAAATCTTTACTACTTATGAATGGTTTATACTTGCCTATTTAGTTTAGAAGTTTGGTGTTGTTTGGGGCGTGTAAGGGTGTCAGAGGTCACTCGACCTGGACCTGTCATTTGCCTGACCTTACATTCTGTTTTCCAGCTCCAGTTCTTACATAAACTCAGGAATTAAATCTTAAAAATACATTCCAGTCCCCTAACTATTAACAAAAATGTATCTTATTTGTGTATCACTCGGCTGTAGATCCTCCAATCATCTCTGAATTGGTGCTGAAACCGTCCTTCCTTCTGGAGGGGGGCAACTTTTGTTCCCTATGATCCCTGTGTGTGTTGTAAAGTAGTCACCGCTCCAAGCTCACTCCTGTGATGGACTACAGTCTCACTACAAACTAGTAGGGATGCACGGATACCAATACTAGTATGGGTATCGGTGCCGGTACCTAGTATTTGGGTGAGGACTTGTACTCGCCCAAATGCTCCGACAATCCTCTGCATAAGTGTCTCAATGTGCAAAGTGAGGAGAGCGCTGACACTTCCCCGGCTCTATCAAAGATTGTGACTGGGTTGGAATATGTGACCGGTCACATGGTCACACACTTTAATGTAATCCCGCCCACTTTTTCGGGGGTGCAATATGTGACCGGCAAAAGGTGAAGAATTCTAACGATTTCTCAGCTGCTCCAGGGCAAATTGGCATCACAGATTATGTACAGGAGAACCGATCTGCCCTGGAGCAGCTAATCTGTCCTGAAATGTCACTTCTATCTGACTTTGTGGAATGTGAGATCGCACTCACAAAGTCACATTTCAGGACCGATCAGCTGCTCCCTGAGAAGTGGGAGAGAAGTTTGAGACTGTGTATACGAGCTGGACATAGGGATCGATTTAAGGACTAACGCGAGTACTTGTAGGCATCAAAAAGTACCTGCACATCAGCACCGTTGGTTTACCGTATTTGCTGGCGTATAAGACGACCCCCTACTTTTTGTGTTAAAATATAGGTTTTGGGCTATACTTGTCGTATAAGACGAGTAGAGCCCAAAATAATGTTTAAATGCACCCACTAACACCCATGGCGGTATTCCCGAGTGTGACTCGGGGTTAATTTTCATTACCATAAGCGGTAACTCCGAGCCACACTTGAGATTACAGTCTCTTAACTTGTCCACGATCCCCGCTGTGTCCTCCGTCTTCCGCTTTGTATACATTAATACAAAGCCTGCCGTAATTGGCTCAGCTCGGTATACTGTATGTAGCCGAAGCTACATACAGTATACCGTATCCTTCCGTATGTACCCGGCGTATAAGACGAACCCCGATTTTCGGGGGATTTTTTTTTAAACCCGTCTTATACGCCGGCAAATACGGTACTTTTCAGGCCTGGTCAGGTTAACTTTAGGAGTGGAAATTCAGATTCTTGCATAAGCTAGTCCTTTTTAATATTCGGAGCTTGGAAGCCGGGCCAACGTGATGGAATAACTTGGCCTGCTTTTGAATATGTTTGTGTGCAAACTAAAGCGCAGTCCTCTGTTTCATATTCTGTTTATACTGGTGTTGTGAATACATAAGTTTGACATAAATGGGGACTTTTCTTGAGGATTATTCATGTTGTGCTTTCATTTCTTGTGGGGTTTTTTTTTCTATTTTTGTTTAAAATCAAATTAATGAAAAACCCAATTTGTAAATGCCCTGACCGTTGGACTTTGCCTAAATAATCACCGAGCATTTGCATTCACCTGTTTGGTTGTTTTTACTGCAGCCTCGACATAGTAAATTACTGGGCAGAGAATGCATTAAGGTAAAAAAACGCCCTTAGTAATACTTTAATCTCTACTATTTACCGCCTCGACATAAAAAATGCTTGCCCATACTAACTTCCCCACCTCCATAGGCATACATAACTACACTTTTGGGAGAGTTGCACATATTTATGTGTCTGGAAAAAATAAGTCCTTTTTTTCTGAATTGAAAACATGCCTGTGGTTTATCTATTCAGGGCAATGTAGTGAGATTTTGATATTAACACATATATGTTTTATATATTGACATTTATTAACATTTTAAATTATTATTAATAGTTTTTAGCAGTTACATGACCCAAATCTTAGAAACCTGTAGAGTATCTCGTTATAATAGAGAGATGCATTTAATACTGAACTATTCTTGCATATTATGGTGTAGTTTCATAGATAAGGTGAAAACTCTTTTTTTTTTTCTTTGTTCTTATTGTCCTTCACAAGCATTGCATTGTCGGCTGCATAGTTTTGCATAACTTTAGGCACACATTTAGGTAGCTACAATTGAAACATCTCTTCATACTGGCAACGTATTGTAGGGAATAATGAAGAAGTAAAGCATATACACACAGTGTATTTGTGCAATATCTATCTATCTATCTATCTATCTATCTATCTATCTATCTATCTATCTATCTATCTTTATTATCCTGACCTTTTATATAGATATAATACATATATAATTAGTTGTATTATAAGCAACATTTGACTTTGTAGATCCAAGTCAACTAGAGTTCATGTACAACATGGGTTGAGGTAACAAGTGTTCAGAGACAAAGTCTTAAAGAGGAACTTTGCCCATCTCTTTAAAAATAACAACAAAAGCACCTTTAGAAATTGGCACTTTTGGAAAAATGCAGAAAGCGTAATTTTTCTGCCAATATAGTGGCACATCCGTTCTTTCTCTCCTCCCCGTTGGGCACTGCTCTGTGTCCCAGCGGGGAGGAAAAAAACGGTCACATGTGGCCGAGCACTGCGGGAGGAGATCGATGTGAGTGGCCGACGTCTCTTCTTCCACACCGCTCAGCCTCCTGTGACAGGAGTCAGCGCTGTCACAGGAGGCCGGCGGTGTGGGGTAGGAGTCAGTTGTCAGATCAAGATCTCCTACCCGCACCGCTCGCTCAGCCTTCTGTGACAGCGTGTCAGGAAGGAGAGCCAATGCTAACACTCAGTGATCAGTGATCGCTGAGTATTTGTAAATAATTGAGGACATAGTTTGTTTACTATATCCTCAATTATGAATGAATGGGAAGTGATCTACATCTCCTCCTGTTCATTCATGATTGGTGTTATAGTAAATATACTCTATCCTCATGTTATGAATGATCAGGAACACTCAGTATAGAGGATTCCTGGTATAACAGGGGTTGTAGCAAAAGGAATCTGTGTCCTCAATCTCTTTTTCTATTTTAAAAGGGGAATATCAGGGGTCTGTTTAGACCCCTAATATTTCCATGAAGTAAAAAATAAAAATATTTAGTAAATAAAATATAATATATTTTTTTAAAGTTTATAAAATATTTTAAAAATGTTAAAAAAGTTTTGACCTGACATTTATTATTTTATTTTTTCTTAATTTCGGTTGCGTTTCGGTTTTAAAATTTTCATTTTGGTGCACCTCTATTAGAAATGTTTAGTAATGACAATCTACATACACATACTTCTAGGTAATTCCTGGCTTGTAAGCCCCCCTATGTAATAGCAATTAAAGTAAAATAAAAAAAAAAAACAGTCTAAAAAATAATAATAAAAATAATGAAAACATTTTTTTAAAGTCCCCGGCCCCCGCGAGCATGCGCGTCTTTACGTAAACACGTGTTGGGTGCACCTACGTATGAAAACGACAACTGCGCTACACATGTTGGGTATCGCCACACATGCCAAAGTGAGAGCAATGCTACTAGGGCCAATAGTTACGCGTATCTAAACTGATGACCTGTGGGGGCTTTTAAAGCGTTGTCTATGGACTTTTTGAGGTACTGCATTTTGACGCAGTTTCATGGATGCACACAATTTTTAACCTGGGCATGTTGGGCACCTATTTACTCATATTTTACCCCATAAAAATTATATAGTGTTTTGGGGCACTAAATTTAACTTAAGTGCATTTTTCAATAAATTTTTGGGTTTGATAGTAAATTGTTCTAATGTCTTACAACATAAAAAAATTGCAACTGCCACCATTTTATTCTATATGGTCTTGGCTTTCAGAAAATATATAATGTTTGGTGGTTTGAAGTAATTTAGTAATTCAGGCTTAAAATGTGGATTATAACATAAAAACAAAAAAAAGACCTTGGTCCTTAAGGGATTAAAGTTATTTTTTAACTGCAAACAGGGTAGGTACCTGAACCTGACCCAGCATGAGCCTCTTGCAGTCCCTGTATAGCAAGTTTGGAGTGTAAGCAGCAAATGAAGCTAATCAGTACATGTGCAGACACGAAATGAAATGTGCTGATTGGAGGAAAAAGCAGAGTGACAGAGATGAGCTCATCACTGTACTGCTTCTCCTTCACTGTCTAGTCACAGGTTTGGGCTGGTCCAGGATGACCTGGGCTTGGAGGAAGTGGGTTGACTGATGCTGGCCATCAGACTGATGGCATATTGTGGCAGTAAAGAATGGGTTATACAGTTTTTAACTCCTTAATTTTTTAAACATTTTTTAACCCCCCCCCGTTCGTTCCTCTAACCTCCAACAAAATGTTCAGAGCTAGGAGCTGAAGGAAACAACGTGCAGTACTTCCAGGTATTGAGCAGGTGACTCACTCCACATGGCAGTGGGCCAATTAGTGCTGTCACACAGGATGTCCATAGCTTACCTGATCTCTGCTCCTGCAATGCTGCGATACCGGTGCCCAGAGCATCAGGGATCGGAGGCCCCCTGACGTCATCATGTTTAATGCGGGGTCCATAGCTTACCTAATCCGTGCTCCTGCCAGTGCCCAGAGCCTCAGGGATCGGAGGCCCCCTGACATCATCATGTTTAACCCCTTCATGACTGAGGCCCTTTTTTCATTTTTTGCACCCATGTTATATTCCACATTTTAGGCCTGAAAATGACTTAAAACCCCCCAACATTATATATTTTCTGAATGCCAAGACCCTATAGAATAAAATGGTGGTAGTTGCAAATTTTTATTTTGCGCAATATTAGCGCAACTCCTTAATTAACCCCAAAATTTAGTGACAAATTTAATTAAATACAGCCCCGATGCTGGCGACGTACACTGTACGTCGTCAGTCACGAAGGGGTTAATGCGGGGTCCATAGCTTACCTGATCTGTGCTCCTGCATACTTCAATACTGGTGCCCAGAGCCGCTTTCCCCTTGTACTTCAGGGATCAGAGGCCCCCTGACGTCATCATGTTTAATGCAGGGTCCATAGCTTACCTAATCCGTGCTCCTGCCAGTGCCCAGAGCCTCAGGGATCAGAGGCCCCTTGACATCATCATGTTTAATGCAGGATCCATAGCTTACCTAATCCGTGCTCCTGCCAGTGCCCAGAGCCTCAGGGATCAGAGGCCCCTTGACATCATCATGTTTAATGCAGGATCCATAGCTTACCTAATCTGTGCTCCTGCCAGTGCCCAGAGCCGCAGGGATCGGAGGCACCCTGACATTATGTTTAATGCAGAGTCCATAGCCCTGCATTTTCACGCAAGGATGCGGAGGGACAATCCACAATTCTGAGTGTAGCACCAACTGCGAAGGGGAGCGGAATTCATGTATGTAAAAGACCTTTTCACAGCTCCCCAAGACACTTAACCCTTGCAGTGCTGGGGTAGCCTCACTGCAAGGGTAGTTGCTTGTTTTTTTGTTTTTTTTGTTATCCAGTTTAGAGATTAAATGTATTTCAGGTTTGGGTTATTTTATGCAGCCAGGTGTTATGTGAATTTTGCCTTCCAGTATACTTCCTTTGGTTTGCTTATTACAACTATCTTTTTGACTTTGTTTCAGGACTGGCAGCCGCCTTTCGCTTGCGATGTCAAAAGTTTCAGCTTCACCCCTCGAGTGCAGCGGCTCAACGAGCTGGAGGTATGGTACTTACCTGGAAATGGAATATTGTATTAGAGAGCTACCTGGTTTGTGACGGGGGTTTTTACAGAGGCCATTTGCATATTCTACTTGCTGGCTGGCAAATACATTGCAGAATGCATGCTTAAAGGAACACTCCATTATTATTAAAAATGTATATACAAGCTATTTTTCATATATACTGCTATTTGAAAAAAAACAAACCTTTTTTTTAAAAATACTGAAAAGAAAAACAATTCCTTGCAACCACGTCAACGGTACTCTGAATTCTCATCTCAGACCAGACTGTTTCCAGACCTAAAATGCATCCCAGTATATCCCTATGCTATTTCTGGCCTCTGTTCCAACCAGCGCAGTCCACTCCAGACCAGACCAGAAAAATACTGCATGTCCTATTTTGTCTGGTCTGGAATGACTAGGACACATCAAAACTCATGGAACGCACTGGAACGCACCTCTAAGACCATTTTAAGCTAAAAAAATTAAAAAAATATTTTAATATTAATATTTTAATATTTTAAAATTTTAAGCTAAAAAAATAAAAAAAATATTTCTAATCGCGGCAAAAACGCAATGCACAATGTTCCAGATCTGGTCTGGAAAATGGTGTGAACCCAGCGTTATTTAAGAGTGTGGTTAAGCACCTCATCCCCCTATTTAAGAGTGTCGTTCAGTAGTTTTTCACAGATGTTACCATGGTCATGTTCCAGGAATCATCTACAATAGCTTCATCTTTTTCTTGATAATCTTTCAAAGACCATTGCACAAGTGTGGGGATGTTGCTTTCCCTATTACAGCAATGAGCCTCATCTGGTAGTTATTGTACAGGTAGACCTATACTGACGTATCCATTACAAGCTGTTTGTCCCTTTAGAGTCTCATGGGTGACTGTTGAGGGTTAATATTAAAATGTACGTACAGCCAGAAAATGTTTTCTATTTGTAGATTGAAAGTGAGGAAGGGTTAGAATGCCTGGTGAGTTTTTTAACTGCTACCCAGGGCTCTATTAGGGCCGGTGCACACCTAGACGTCACCCCACCGCGCGGCAATTGTGCCTTTTTTCTGCGATACACGACGCGTGGCTGTTTTAGCCGCGTTCATGTTCAGAAGCACGGGCGGAATACCACGCGATCCGCTTTGCGTGACTGTGGTCCCATTGGAAAATAATGGCACCCACAGCGCTATCGGTGCACACCTGGGTGACTCCTGACCGCGTGGATTCCGGCCTTCAGAAATTTCACCTCGCTTCCTATCATGGCGACTGCAGTTTTACCAGACAGTATGTTATAGAAAAACAGCAGCACTGACAGAAATAATAATGCTTTACTTCAGTGGAGTTAGGGACCTGGAATTGCACTTTTAATAACCCTTCCAATGTCTTGAATACAATTAATCTGTATCTTTCTACTCTACTATTTTATTTTCATATCACCTGCAGTGGAAATAAGCATAATGATTCTTGTTTTCAAGGCAATAACCCGTGTGAAGCTTGACTTTTTGGATCAGCTGGCAAAGTTCTGGGAGTTGCAAGGCTCTGCATTGAGGATCCCAGTGGTGGATCGCAAGCTTTTGGATGTTTACGGATTGAGTAAGGTGCGACTTTCCCTATATAAACACCGCTGTTTAGGAATTGATGTTGGTGATGGGATGCTCTGGATGTGACCACTAGCCTGCAGATGTCCATTACTTGTATTATGTCGCCTGATGCAGGGGACTGGGAGAACATTCCAACTGCAGGAAGAACACGGCCTCAAAACATTACATTGTAAATGAGGCCAAAACTCCACTTTCTGATAGTTTCAGTTATAAGGTTTCCTGGTTAGTGTCAGCCACACATTGTCACTTGGAGTTCTTTAAAGGGTTTGTATAGACATGACCAAAATATATCCTCAAACCTCCTTCTCCCCTTGTAGATCATGTCCCAGCATTATTTATTTTTTCTACTTAGTGTTATAGCGAGAAACAGCTTTTATTACTCTCTATGATGTCATCACCAGACTTGTAAAATTCCTGCGAAATCAATGTATGCATGTAGAGTGGGACAGAAAGGAGATAGGCAGAGTTTTGTGGTCCAGCCAACAGGGCTGACAACACTGATTAGGATTTCAGTGCTGAAAAGGTACTGTGTTGTCAGGCCAAAAAGGAAATTCGGAACACATTGAGTTTCTGTCAGATGAGCAGGTATTTTACTGTACTTGCAGTCTTGCATGTATTGCAGAGATATAGTGCATTTTTATTTTTGCCCAGACATACTTTAAATGGCAGCAACTTATAACTTAGATGTTTCTTTTTAATAGTTCGGTATTTTATGGATTGTTTGTTTACATTTGCTTATAACGTTTTTCTGTTTTAGGTGGTTTCCAGTGAAGGAGGCTTTGAGATCATCAGCAAAGAGAAGAAATGGTCCAAAGTTGGTAGCCGTCTAGGGTACATGCCAGGCAAGGGCACAGGGTCTCTTTTGAAGACCCACTATGAGCGTATATTGTACCCCTATGAGCTCTTCCAGTCTGGGATCAGCCTCATGGTGAGATACTTTCTACTGATAAGAGTGTGTTTGGGAGGATAATGGCAGTTTAGCTGTGTGTGGTTTGTCCCTGTCGTCTCTCCTGACCAGTCATAGACAAGATATCATTCTTTAGTTTTTGAAGAACTACAGATCTCTGTGTGAATCATTTTGCCTTGCAATCCTTCAGCTCATACTGAGTGGTGCGAGTTAGAGGAAATCTTCATGTTGTACAAGTGTATGCCTTTGTGTCTAACAGTTCTTTCTTCTCCCTTTATGAACAACCAGGGCATCCAGAAGCCCAATCTGAAGGCAGAAGAGAAAGTGGAGGTGACTGACCCCTGTGAAGAGTCCAAAGAATCCTCAGGCAGTGAGAAAATCAATTTTCCTCTGAAAAGATCGCGGCGAATCAAGTCGGAGGTGTTTAGTTTTTTATTTCTTGTTATTTCATAACATCTAATCCCCTGAGGGTTACAGTTACCCGGGAAGCTGGGCGGCGTGTAAAGACTTGTCACCTGGCTTCCCGATTAGCAGGGAAGCCATCCCCATGCTTCTCGTCACTAGGTGACGAGAAAGCATGGAGCCAGATTTCTGGTCAATCAGGAAGGCGGGGGCCGTGTAATGATGTGGCGTCCGGCTTCCTGATTGGCCGGGAAGCCGGCTTCATGCTCCCTCGTCACCTCATGACGAGGGAGCATGGAGCTGGCTTCCCGGCCAATCAGGAAGCTGGGCGCCGTGTAATGACTCGCTGCCCGGCTTCCTGATTGGTCGAGACGCTGGCCAATCAGGAAGCCAGGCAGTGAGTCATTACCCACCCACCTGATTGGCCAGAAAGCCTGCTTCATGCTTCCTCGTCACTAGGTGATGTGGAGACGGTTTCAGTGCTAATCTGGAAGCAGGGTGGCGGGTCATTACTGGCTACCTGGCTTCCTTACACGACCAGTCATTACAGGCCACCTGGCTTCCTTAATGGGACTTCCGGTATCAGTATTCGGTATCGGTGAGTACCGGAAAAAAATTTTTTTTTACCAAAGTGAACCATCCTAGAGAGCTGTTAGAGGAACAGGTGTCCACATTGGAGGATTTTCCTATAACCCTTGCTCTCATTTTAGATATCCCTTTACTTTCTGGCTCACTGACAATGGTCACCAGAGAGGGTGAATCATCACAGCATGAACCCAGACAGCAATATAAGCTGGACAAAGGATCTAACCGTTTCCTACTCCAATACAGCAAAAAAAGATTTGCCTTTACATGCACATTGATGGGAAACAGTTGCTCTCCCCTATAGGCTGCACCCCTGAAATAGGAACTGATTAGTCAATGTTAACTTGCTGTTTTGTAGGAAGTAGACAATAGGGATCTTCAGGCATAGTTCTTGTTTAGGATACTTAGTTATAGAAAACGTAACTAAAGCGAAATATGGGGGTAGCCATTGCTGACTTCCTCCTGAAAATATTTACTGACTTGTTGTCTCCGGCATTAATACTTTGAGTCAATAATGTGGAACAAGCATGCAGCCAGTAAAATCGGACCTCTTGATCTGCTTACTTATTCTGGGTCGTAGTGTTGCATGACAGCCAGGTAACTAGCATTTAAAGAAAGATAAGGAACAGTTCTGGTACTTGTTTTCTGACTTATATTTCTCTTTAGAAGTCAACTTACACTTACAGATCGTGTCTCTTCCCCCCCAGTAACAGTTACAGGTCTTGTCCCTTCCCCACTCTGTGACTGGACAGTGAAAGGAGAAGCATCAGACTGATGAGCTCATCTCTCAGTCATTCTGCTCTCTTCAATTTAATCCTTTTTGGCACATGAACAGTGCTGCATAACTGTTTAGATCCGTGTGTATGCGTGTGTGTGTTTTATAAATACACTTCATGATTTTTTTATGAACACGTAGCTTTAATGAATTTTATTTTTTGTTTCGTTTTTTTTCTGATCTGTCCTTCAGGTTTAATTGTTGTGTTCTGTTTTTAGCAGGAGATGGTGGAGAACACTAAAAGCACAGAGGTGAAAAAGTTGAATGTTCTTGGAGCACCCAGGGTGATTGGCATCAGTGACAGCGTTAAAGACCGAGCTGGTGAGAAACTACGACAGCTTTTATTAGCCAGATATTTGTGATATTTTCGGATACTTTCTAGAAGTGCCACTGTGTGCTAGTGCCAGTGACATCAACATGACACCAAGAATATCATAGGATGAGACTTGTATAAGATTTGCTCTTTTAGCAGGGACCTCCCTATGTTGGGTTCCAACATCTGTGGTTGTTTGACTTGTATTCCTCTCTCTGGCTCTTTTCAGATGAAATGTTCAAGAAAAAGAGCTCCAAGTTTGAACTGTTTGGGATGCAGATGAGAAAGAAGAAAGGAGCCCTTAAAGTTAATTTTGTAAGTAAGATAAAATTTAGCCCATATTATCCACACATTTCTTTCCATTTGTAGTGACAGTGAGAGATTCTAGACCACTGATTGGTGGCTATTGAGTTTTGGGAACTTCAATTCAGGCCATAACTCCTCTGAAAATGGTCCTGTAGGAAAGATTTGAAAGGTGCTCTCTGGGGATAAAAAAATCTTTACCCTTGCAGTGGGACCCTCTCCCTATAGGGGGTGATGAATAAGGTGATATCTTATTCCTCACTTAATAAGTCTGTGAAGGTTCTCATTCATCCAGATCATGGTATATCTGTGAAGAATAAGTCAAGGCAACTGGACTTGCTGTATTTTACTTGAAGACGTTTCACCGGTCATCCAGCCAGCTTTCTCAATTCAGAATTGATAGAGGTGGCCTTCGGCCACGACTAAAGGTCGTGAAATTACAATCTTTTAGAACATGAAGATTTTACATATATACGTATTCTTACTTGATAGGAAAATTAGCCAGGTTAGAATTAAATTTGAGTTTAATTGATTATTTCCTTGAAGGGATCACTTTGAGACCTTGCATCTAAGGCAGGGGTCCTCAAACTTTTTAAATGGGGGGCCAGTTCACTGTCCCTCAGACATTGTTGGGGGCCGGATCAGGAAGCCAAGAGGCGGGGCATGACATGCTGCCCAGCTTCCTGATTGGCTAGGAAGCCGGCTTCACTTTGTTCTAGGCAGCCCGGCTTCCTAACCAATCAGTAAGCTGGGCGGCACGTTCTGACCCACCTCCTGGCTTCCTGATTGGCTAGGAAGCCGGCTTCACTTTGTTCTAGGCAGCCCGGCTTCCTAACCAATCAGGAAGCCGTGACACGAGTCATGACGTACTGTCCGGCTTCCTGATTGGTCAGGAAGCCAGGCTGAATAGAAAAAATAGCTGCAACAGAGCGTGCTGTTTACTACTTAAACCGGCTCGCGCTGTGTGCAGCTTCTGAGAATATACGCTATTAGCGTAGCAGGAGCTCTGCAAACCCGCTACGCCACTGGGAGGGAGTGAAGACAGCGTCGCCCTTCACCCGCATCTCATCGCCCACAACCCACCGCCAGGAGTGGGCCGGGTTAAGGACCCTTACGGGCCGGATGTGGCCCGCGGGCCGTAGTTTGAGGACCCCTGATCTAAGGTAACTATTGGTGAAATATATAACTATAAGACTGAACTCTTCCTAATACTGTAGTAGGGTGATGTTTTTTCCTATTTGTAGCTTTAAAGTATGCCGTGAAACTGTAATGTTTTGTTTTTTAGCACATTAAGGTTATTTGTTTGTACCCTTACACAGTATGATGAATATAAAAAATCAATGGGGAGATGTCTTTTTTAGATGGATGTTATATTATTATATGATTGTATGTTATATATGTCTCTGTATGTTATATGAAAACAATAAAAAAATGTGACAGTAAAAAATTTTGACAGTAAAATACAGCAAGTCCAGTTGCCTTGACTTAAGCCTGTGACACTGCTCGCAAAGCCGTGCAGAGCACAGCAAAGCTGTCCGGCACAGAGCTTTGCGTACAGTGTGTGAGCTGAGTGCAGGTAGATGATTGACTGCACCTTCAGCCAATCGGCTCGTGCGTAACAACCGGCCAGACGTCGCATCCTGACGCGCAGGTTTATACGCACGAGCCGGTTGGCTGAAGATGACATTTTTCATCTCGGCACGCTCAGCTATGCGAGCTCTCACAAGTTGAAAATAACATGACACACTGCTCGCAAAGGCAGCACGCCACCGCTCCGCTCTGCTTCGTGTGCAGTGTGACACAGCCTTTATTCTTTACAGACTCGCTTAATAAAGCTTCCTCCTCTTCATCTGACTAGTCCGCTAGTCCACTACAGTTGTCCAGCAATCCACATTGGAAACTGACGCACATTTACCAGCAACACCAAGCAACCCATGGTGTTGCACAGCCCCCCTTGTGGTATGTATGTCTTTGACAGAAGCAGGGCACAGAGGAAGCATTTCCCAGTCAGGCTTTGCAATCACATGACGTAAATAACACACGGGATGGGGGGTTGGGGGGGGGGGGGGGGGTTCAGGCTGAACAACACTTTGAATTGCACGGCAGCTTCCAATGCTGATTGCTGGACAACCAGAACACGGACAGATGTCAAACATGGTGCTGTGTATTTATCAAGGTACATGTGTTATGACTGTTTACTGTTCAGTTCTAGAATTATTCTCAATCTAACCAACATACTGATGCTTCTAAGATTGGTGTAGTCATCTAGGCTTCAATTAATTCTGGTTGGGAAGGGGTTACATAAGCCACGCTGAAATGGACTTGTTGTTAGAGGATGTGTTGCAAAAGATCTATTTTTACTGTATATGGCAGCACCTCCCCTAATAACATGTCTGCCTCAACACAGCTGTTTTCAGAATGGTAGTTAAGTGTCACTGATTCAGATCTGCAGCTCCTATAATGTTGGAGTGTAGCCGCTGCATGTTGAGAACTGTCTTTGGTGGTTGTTACAGGTGGATCTGTATATTTGCTTGTTCTGTGGCCGTGGAGACTGTGAAGAGAGACTTCTCCTCTGTGATGGCTGCGATGACAGCTACCACACCTTCTGTCTCATTCCTCCTCTCCCGGAGGTGCCCAAAGGAGATTGGAGGTGTCCAAAATGCATTGCTGAGGTAATAACTCTATATCAGTCACAGAAATTTTCTTTTGCTCCTGTTGGTTGTGCCTTGTAAGATGTTTGGCTGGGTTCAATCTTTCTCCTAGGTATTCGTACTCCTAGGTATTCTTCTCATTATCTTTCTGAAGTTTACGCCTTCATAATCTGCTTCAGTAATCTACTCTCATGTAGATGAATGTATGCCATGTGTACCTTTAAACCGTTCGCTGCTAGGCCCTGTGCTCCACTTCTAATCTCTGCTGGCCAGACTATTTTTGCAATTTTTCACTTTTTTTATTTTTTAAATACAGCTTTCAGAGTTTGTAAAAGACCCCCCCAACCATACATTTTGCTCAAACAGTACAGGCACTCTTTACATCTTATCAGATATGAGTTTATGAGCCACAATGCCATCTGCAGTGAGACATTTGGTGAAATATGGTCTCATGGGTCCAACTATAAGCAAAATAAGGGAGGGATGAGGAGGAGAAACAGGGTCTTGAAGCTGCATGAGTGTGGGAAAATGGGATTCCAAATTTTGGATCTAATCTGATGGACTTTTTTTTTTTTTGCTTCTTTCAGGAGTGCAGCAAGCCGCGTGAAGCATTTGGTTTTGAACAGGCTGTGAGAGAGTATACCCTGCAGAGCTTTGGAGAGATGGCAGACAGCTTTAAATCGGACTACTTCAACATGCCAGTGCATGTAGGTGTTTGCGTTCTGTGTCTTAAATTCTTGTTCTGCAAAGAGACTTTGTCACAGGGTGAAGGCAAATTATATAGTGCAGGCATTGAGAGGCGCATACCTGGAGAAGCCTCCCAAGTCGTCCTGCCATGGGGCAATGCCAGGTGGTTCTGACAGGCAATGCTCTGATACTTCTGGTTTTGTGTCGCAGCTTTCTGCTATGTGATGCCCTCACACATTTCTACTGGGTCATGATTCTATTGGGTTTCTTTACTGGATAGTGGGAATGTGCAGAAGGATGACAGGTACGGAACAGCTTTGCATGTCAGAATGGCCTGAGATTCAGCCTCTGCACTTTACTTGCGGCACTTTACTCCTCTTCCTTCTAGTGACTCTTTAAGGTAAAAATTATGTCACCAACCAGCTAGCGCAAAAATCCACTTATTGGTGGACTGACCCTTTTTAATACCACATCATATTGTTCATTTGTTATTGAATATTGGGTTTTGTCTAGAGGTTTCTATAAACCAGTTTAATAAAACGTACTGATAACTGTCTTGCTGGGATATACAGATGGTGCCCACTGAGCTGGTGGAGAAGGAGTTCTGGCGCCTGGTGAGCTCGATTGAAGAGGATGTCATTGTGGAGTATGGGGCAGATATTTCTTCTAGAGACTTTGGCAGTGGTTTTCCAGTGCTCGATGGCCGGAGGAAGATTACCGCAGATGAGGAGGTGAGACATTTTATTGAAATGTTTAAATAAAACCTTTCCAATGTCATTGCATACCTTATTTTAGACCCAGTGAGAGTGAGAAACTCACAATGTGCAGTGAAATCAGAGTAAGCAATTTCAGTATTGGAGAGGAGCCTGTGTGAGGGAAGGCTGCAGCTTTAAGATGGGCCCCCACATTGCACAGTTTTGGTAAATCTAAAGGAAATTATACTGTGATTGTACAATCGGCTTACAATGTTTAGAGTTTAGGGCAAAGAAGGACAGCCTGTGTGGTCATACTATATGGACACCTATGTGGATTTTATGTTGTCACCTGGTGGCCAACCTGTTAACTCTTATTTACCTTTTTATGATAGGATTACACCCAGTGTGGATGGAACCTCAATAACATGCCTGTTCTTGAGCAGTCTGTCCTGTCCCACATCAATGTGGACATCTCTGGCATGAAGGTGCCCTGGCTTTATGTGGGCATGTGCTTCTCTTCTTTCTGCTGGCACATCGAGGATCACTGGAGCTACTCCATTAATTACCTTCATTGGTATGTTACCAGCTCCTACATGTTCAACTAACGTCATATCTGTACTTGGTTTTTGTCCTCCCTTACATTGTTGCTTGTTTTGCATTTCTTGTGACTATTTAGGACTACTTAAGGCTCACAGGTTACCCTGTGTGCTCACTTCTGTGACTTGCATTTTTTTGTTTTACAGCCATCTTGTCTGCATTAACTGCTTGTAACACAAGTCAGTGATGGAGAAAAATCTGGGTGTACTGGCAGACCATAGACTCAGTAATAGCATGCAATATCAAGCCACAGTTTCTAAAGCAATAATTTTTTTTTTTTTTAATTATTAAAAGGGGTCTTGACTCCAGAGAGAGAGACATCATCCTGCGCCTGTACAAAGCATTAGTAAGACCTCATCTGGAATATGCAGTTCAGTTTGGGGCACCAATTCACAAAAAGGATGTTGTGGAACTGGAGAAAGTGCAGCGACGGGCGACTGAACTCATAAGAGGCATGGAGGAGCTCAGCTATGAGGAAAGATTAACTGAACTCAATTTGTTCTTTCTGGAGAAGAGGCGATTAAGGGGGGACATGATCACCATGTATAAATACATAAATGATCAATATAAGGAGCTTGGTACCAAATTATTAACTTTAAGGTCACTGCAAAGGACAAGGGGGCACTCTTTGCACCTGGAGGAAAAGAGGTTTAACCTTTGCATACGGAAAGGATTCTTCACAGTTAGAATTGTGAAAATGTGGAATACACTCTCCCAGGAGCTAGTTCTACCGAGCTCAGTTAACGGTTTAAAAAAAAAATCTAGATGTATTCCTGAATGCACAGAATATGACTGGATATTGAGTTCTTATAGGTATACAGTATTAAGCACCAGAGATTGTTGATCCAGGGAATATCCAATTGCCTTATGGGAACAGGAAGGATTTTTTTCCCCCTGTTGGAGCAAATTGAACTATGCTTAATAGGGTTTGTTTGTTTTTTGCCTTCCTCTGGATCAGCAGTGGATAACTGTGGGCATAGCATTCTTTTTTAGGTTTTTATTCTTTCTTTTGTTTCTTATCTCTATAGGTTGAACTCAATGAACTTGTGTCTTTTTTTTCAACCTGACTAGCTATGTAACTATATAATCATGAGCATCAGAGTGCAAATACTATAGTATTGCCCCATACCATGAAATGTGCCATAAAATGATCCGTCAGTCACATGACCAAGCTCTTCTCCTCCTACTTTTTTTTCCCTTTTATTTGGAGTCTTTAAGGCAAGAAGCATGTCATTCACATTTGTAAAACACTGCTGTGCAGCAGTATGGCTGTGGTAAGGTCATACTGCTGCTTTATAAGTAGGGCCTTAGCTTAGGAGGATAAACGTTTTCAAGCATTAAAGTACATTAACCATTCTTTTATTTCTAATGTTTTATCCCATCTAATGAACTTTCTCCCATGTTATTCCCCTCCAGGGGAGAGCCCAAGACTTGGTACGGCGTTCCATCCCACGCAGCAGAGCAGTTGGAGGATGTCATGAGAGAACTGGCTCCAGAATTGTTTGAGGCTCAGCCAGATCTCTTACATCAGCTTGTGACTATCATGAATCCCAACATCCTGATGGAACACGGTGTTCCGGTGAGTCTAGAGAAGGTGACAGTGATGTCATTGCCAGCTCACGTAGATTTTTAAGAAACTGCCAAGTCAAGTTTGGGTAAACTTACTCCTTTCATACTTTTGAGTTTAGGTTTACAGAACCAACCAGTGTGCTGGGGAGTTTGTGGTCACTTTCCCGCGTGCTTACCACTCCGGCTTCAACCAAGGCTACAACTTTGCTGAGGCAGTGAACTTCTGCACAGCGGACTGGGTATGTCTCCCTAAATAGGATTGTAGTTTATGTACAATTATGGCCATGCCACAAGATGAATGTTACTACTGGGCCATATTAAAGCCCAATTCTAGGTTGGAGTGTCTGCAGAAATTTAATTACTGACAGACATGTAGTGATACTAAGAAGGGATTGAAAATAGGCCAATGAGAAGTGATATTTATATCTTGTGATTATAACACACATGACTGATTGAAATAGATACTTAAGCTGCTCCCTGATCTTGTGGTGTAGTTCCCTATCAGGTTCTCCACTTTGCACTTTCACCACACCTCTGTTATTGTGATTGGTGATTCACTAAGCAGTTATATTGTTTGAAGAGAAGTGGATGCTTTTTAAAACGTATTCTGGACAGAATCTGGTCCAAAACATTTCTGTATGATGAGGTAAATTATAGGGATGCACTCGATACCGGTTTGGTTTTTTCGGTACTCGCCGGTACCGGTACTTCTGCTAACCTGGAGCCACCTTCCCAGCCAATCAGGAAGCCGGGGCGGCGACTAACCGCTGCCCGGCTTCCTGATTGGACGGGAAGCCAGCTCCATGTTCCCTTGCGACACTCCTGGTCAGAAGATATCTCCCTTTGACCGAAAGTTCTGGTATCGGAGCATTTGGGTGAGTACAAGTATTTGCCCAAATACTCTGTATCTGCACCAATACCATTATCGGTATTGGTGCATCCCTAGTAAATTGTGTTTCTTTCTCATCCATTGTGGGATACAGGAAAGCTTTACTTTCAGGTTAAATTTCCGCCTACAGGAGAATCAGACACTGACAAACAAAGCAAAAAAGAAAAACATAGGCCACCCATGGATTTTTCCTCCTACTACCAGCATGCCTCAGTTTAATTCTAGTGTGCGAGGAGGATGGACTTCTTCTTTTCTTTAGCTCTGCTGTGTTAAATGCTGATGTCATCCGCTGGTTGAAGTATCACATGCTCCATGTTGCTTAGCGCCTTTCAGCCGCAGAGACGCAGATTGTTTCTAAGTCACTCTAGTCATTCATTGATGAGCTTAGCCTTAACCCTTTCGCTGCCAAGCCCTCCTCAACATTTTTCAAATCAGCTGGCCAAGACATTTTTGAATTTTCAAAGGAATCACAGTCTACTGCGATCACTCCAAAATTTAAGGAGACCGATTTGGCTCTCATTGATGTGTTATAACAAAGTAAAAACAATTACAAACCTAAACTCAAACGGCGGGATGATGTGTACTTGTGTGCTACAATACATTTTTCAGCGAAGCTTGCGGTGTGCGAGCAGACTTTTTTTGGTATGTAACTGCTGATGCTGTAGCAAGACGGGCTCGGCCGGTGTCGCCGTTCTCTCTAGTGCTACTGTGAAGGAGAGTGATATTGGGCTATGGAAGTTGGTTAACTCAAACATGCCTGACCTGTTTCGTCGCTTGGCTTCACCTCTGATGAAGTCATTCAACCAAACATATTAGGCATGCTATAGTTGGTGTTTGTAATTGTTTTTACTTTGTTTTAAATAAACCGGAGTTCCACTGTACTGGTTTTATTATTGTTTTAAACTCTGACCGAGTATCGATTTCCTGCTTGATATACTAAATGGAAAGTCCCAGGTGAATTAAAGCTGTAATCTTGTTTATCTGTGCTGTGTGTAGCGATTTGCAAGGTTACTACCTGTTCTTCTGTTCACATGTTCCTAAAGTTCTATCAGTTGGAATATTTTGGCCTCATTTGAGGGTAAGGTCTTTCAGGCAGCTCTCTGAGCTGCAGCCTGTCCTCACTTTTTCTGTTGCTTTTTTTTTTTTCTATGGCCTGTTAACCATTGTTTACTATGCTGCCCACCCCTAAGTTGGACTGATGTGGGTGTCCTGAAGGTTAAAGGCTTTCTATGTCCCTCTATGGATGAGAACGAAAATAGAATTTTTGTATTCATTGTAAAATCCTTTTCTTGGAGTTCATTGAGGGACAAGGCCCCACTCCTCTGTGTTTATGGCCATGCACTCAATACTGCTTTGCTACAAAATTGAGGCATGCTGGTAGTAGGAGAGGTTATCCTAAACTGGTCTACAGGGTTTTGTTTTTGTCAATGTCCAATCCTCCTATAAGCATCAGTATAATCAGAATATTCAAGACTTTGTGTCCCTCAATGTGATTCAGGAAAAGGATTTTGCGGTTAGTGCAAAAATCCTATACCTTTTCTAATGCTAAAATGTATGAGCTATTTTATACTTTAGAATTTGAAGTTCCATGGTGCAGGTTGCGTGTGTAAATTCAGAAAATTACGATTTGTGTAAATAAATGGGGAGACTTTACTTTCTGGTCACTGGGACACAGAGTGAGGGTGAAATTTTCTGAGATGGCATTTAAAAACTGGCAGAATATCTCTCTCTAAAAAAAAATGAAACTTTGGCTGGTGTGGTGGCTTTAGGTTCCTTGATGCCACAGCAATGTCACAAGTTCATCATGAACTGATCAGAGACCCCTGCATAGGTGACAGATGCACTTTAAAACGCTGAATACATTTTAGTGCTCGTTTCTTGGATGATCACACTTGACAAAATGCTGTTTCTTTATAAATGAATTACCCATGTTTGTTGGATCTCTGATAGCTGCCTATTGGACGCCAGTGCGTGAATCATTACCGTCGTTTAAGGCGATACTGTGTCTTCTCACACGAGGAGTTAATCTTCAAGATGGCAACTGACCCTGAGTGCTTGGATGTTGGCTTGGCGGCTGCTGTATGCAAAGAGATGACAATAATGATCGAGGATGAGACTCGACTGCGAGAAGCCATCCTACAGCTGGTAAGGGCGGAGGTTTACATCTTCATCTGCTGTTTGATTCTTGTAAATTTGATGTTGGTTATTCCATTCAGCACTTCTAAAAATTGCTGTGTTTGTTGCAGGGAGTCCAGCAGTCAGAAGAAGAAGTATTTGAACTTGTCCCAGATGATGAGAGACAATGCGCTTGTTGTAGAACAACATGTTTCCTCTCTGCCCTCACTTGCAGCTGCAGTTCTGACCGTCTTGTATGTCTGCATCACGGCGAGGAGCTATGCTCGTGTCCAATGCAGGACAAGTGTCTTAGGTAAGCACAGTTCTAGCAGGTTTATACATGATAATTTTATTATTATATAGGCTTTATATAGCACCATCAGTTTGCGCAGCGCTTTACTATATAAGGAAGACATTACAATCGCAATACAATTCAAGACAAGATGGTAAGGAGGGCCCTGCCCCTGATGGCTTACAATCTAAAAGATACATTTAGGTTACATCTGCTGCCTTACATGAACTTAACTATGATACGGTAAAAACACTGGCGACAATTATATTTTTTTACTTATTTTTTTGTTCTTTATTTCTGTGTCCACACTTCCTTTCCCATTCCTTTTAACCATAAAAGAAATGCATGTGGAGGGTCATTCTATTTTCATGACATGCCTTCTTTTCACTAGCTCTTTGTGCTGCTCTTTGCAATGCAGGCAGATCATGCAGGGGTGTGGACATTTTTTAAAAAACTACTTGTCCAAGGGCTAAAGTGGTGGCCGAATCTACTTGTCCTTCATGACAATCTACTTGTCCCAATACAAAAAATAGTTTTAACCAAAACTAAGGATGCACCAATACCGGTTTTTCGGTATCGAGTACGAGTACCGATTTTTTGCTTTCGGATCTCGCCGACACTGAATACTAATACCGGTGCTTCCGCTGACATAGAGCAGGCTTCCCTGGTAATCAGGAAACCGGGCAGCAGGTAATGAGATCCCGCCCAGGTTCCTGATTGCCACGGAAGCCGTCCCCATGTTGTTTGGCCTGCTTGATTGCGATTGGCTGGGAAACCTGCTTCCCGGTCAATCAGGAAGCCAGGTGGCGAGTAATGACCTTATTGACCGGGAAACTGGCTCGATGCTGATTGGCCAGGAAGCCGGCTTTCCAGCCAATCAGCAAGTAGCCGGCTTCCCGGGCCAATCAGAAAACCAGGAGGCGGGTCATTACTTGCCGCAC